ACCGCTGGAGTGGCATACTGTCTGTTGCTGCCCAGCGAGCTTTCGCCGCCTCACTCCTGGAGCTCCCTGCTGCTGCAGAGCTCGGTGCTGCTGGCGATCCGCCTGTCCTGCACGAGCTCCTCGCCGACGCCCGCTGGCTGCAGGCGCCCGCCAACAGCCGCCTGCCAGCGCGTCCCGCTTGAGCACCCCCCGTCCAGTGCCCTGTAGTCGGACCTGGACTCCTTTTGCGCAGTCGCAAAAAGGTGCGTCAAAAAAACAAAAAAATGTCTAAAGCGGAGCGTCCTCTCAAGCAGCCAGAAATGGTGGGGGGAGCGAGCAACTCCAAGCCGACAACACCTGGCAACAAGGAACTCTGGCCCAAAGCCGGAAAATGCAACTGAGTATCGTGATGGGCTTTGCCTGCGATGCGCCAGTCGGTACTGAAACCTTGCTAAGGACAGCGACTCAGGCCTTCAGCATCGCAGGCGGGAAGCCATCCCCCGACAGGGAGTGCAATATCTGAGCCAAGTCGCCCGGCGCTTGACGGGGCAAAATCCGAAGCTCACTATTGAACCAACCGCACACTCCCCGAGCTTTGCGGACCGAGCAAGGGCTGGGACAAGTGGCCAGGAGACGGTGGAAATGCAGCCAATCCTCAATATCAGCTTCCTCTTCTTTGGAATCACGATTCCAAATGGGACTCCAGTACTCCATCAAAGCTCCGATGACACCTCGCCAAGAGGTAACTTGTTGGTAGCGGCAGAGGAGGCCTTGCGAAGGAAGCACGGCATCGTCATTTGAAGAAAAGAGAACAGCATTCCTGTCGACACCACTCGAGGATGGCAGCGGCCGGCCTCCCGTGTTGTCGACGATAGCATCGCCGGCCGCTTCCGCGCAATGCTTGACCCTCCTTCCCTTGCCCTGCTCGAGTCCCAGTCTGGGCCTTTTGCTTCGAGGGTTTTCACTGCTTTGCCTGCCAGCCAGGAGCTCGCTTTGGACTCGCTTGTTTTCCGTGCGTTGCCATCGCGGGGCCTGGTGACCCAACGGGCGGCCTGGAACCCCCACTCGGGGAGCTCCTGGCGGGCCACCAGCCCCCGGCGCCCAGTCGACTCTGAGCGCGCAACGTGGGGTGCAGACGGCCCCGCACACAGTTGGCTGACTCGGGACTTTCTTCGCTGTCGTAAAAAGGCGCGCAAAAAAAATGCATTGCTGCTCCGCTCGACGCTGCAGCCTGTCGCTGCCGTCGCCCCGTTGACCCCCTCGGCGACCACAACGCTGCTTGTCCCCGCCCCGGCGGTGAAAAAACGCCTTTTCAGGTACTATACCAAATACAGGTGGACGCCCGCGACTGCGGGGCTTCTCCTAGCTTTGTCCGGATAAGACCTCCCCAGAGCCGTCCTTTCACATGTGTGCAACTTTGCCCGGAACAGGATGCCAAGGTGCTCCACCGGCATGATTCTCATCACTGTACATTGGCGGAGGAATTGCTTGCTGTCTCTGAACGTCCTTGCAGCGACCACGATGGCCGCGGGGCAAGCTTTTCAAGGAATTCCGACCCGGATCTGAAATCGAACGCTCAACCGTGGCAGACCACAACCGAAGCTTATCCCCGGCCTGAACCTCCGGGACCGATGACCGATGCATGAAACCCCGCCCTGACGGTGCAAGATACAGCATCATAGGCATCCACCAGATCGGCGAGCGCATCAATCAAGTCAGAAAAAGATTTCGGCTAATTCCAGATCCAGCGTGGAATGCCCTTGCAAGGCAATTGCAATCGGAGTCTTATGGGGGCGTGACTATCAAAAAGGTGCTCTGGCGTCATGACATTTGCCGAATGGAAGTACTGGAGCAGACTCGGGGGGACGAGGAACGTATCATACCTTGTAGCCCCTCCCTGCAAGTGCAAGGCAAATGAACATCATGAGCCTGCGCCGCGAAGGCACCCAGCTCAAAATCCATCCCAGGTCTTGAAAAGCCTGCCAAGCCGGGAGGCTCACAGGTGCCGTGCTGAAGTCTCCGGCCACAATGGCTGGCACACATGAAATGGAAACTTGTTGGAAGGCCAGGCCCAGGCCAACACAAGGCTATTTTTCTCGGCTGCTTCAGGTAGACAAGGAGGAACACCATAAATGGAAATGACCTTTACCTCGAAACCATGGAGGCGGACGAAGCACTCGGAAAGTCTGCACCCTGCAGGCGGAAACGAGGCGCGTAAAAAAAAAAATGCAGCTGTGCAACATGGAAGCGGGAAAACAACGCAGCGCGAGGCAGGCGCGATAATGCGGCAACCCCCAGTGCATAGCTCCGCAACATGGCTCTCCGGGAGCCTGCGTGGAACTTTCTCTCGGTGGGCTGACCCCACATACAACGAAAACCCAATCGCCGGAACTTGGAAGCCATTATTCATAATATTCTGAACCCTGGCATTTGCAGAGGTATCATTTGCAACGATCACATCAGCTCCAACCTAACTACGTGCCAGTCTTTGTCAAGAATGGTTGTCGGATTGATAACGGCGAAGTGACAACTGACTCCTCAAAAGAAACCCGCCGACGCCATCCGACCATCCCCCGAAGGCATCTCAGGGCTGCCCAAACCCCGTAAAAAAACCAGCTGTAAGCGGCTCAAGGCCATTTGTCATAGAGGCCCATCTAGTTCCATTTGGAGCTGCTCCGGCTCGGCAAGACGTTTCGCAGGAGTAGGGCCGCGAAGCTGGGAAGAGGCCTTCATTTCATTTAAGCCCGGCTGGTACTGAAGTTCATGCGCCGCTTGCGGCACACGCTGACACTCAGCATTGGCCTGGAGTTGGGCTTTGAAGTCCGATGCAAACGTGGTCAAATCGGTTTTCACTTATTCCTCCATCCACAGCTGCTCGCGTATGTGCAACCTGTTGTGCCATGGCGAGATGGCCACATCGGACTTCCGCCAGACATCTCCAGACCAGCCTCTAGCTGTTGGAGTCGATTCTTCTGTTGGTCGTACCTTTGCTGGTTTGGCGGTGCTGCCGCATGAAGCGCAAGGGCAGCGGGACCAGGGGCAGCTGACCTACCGGCTTGCTGGTTCAGGTAACGTTTCCATGGGTCATGAGTCTCCAGCGGGTCGACAACTTATCGCTCCTCCGCCGTGTGTACCGGCTGGGGCATCCGCCTTGCCCGAATGATCGGCCGATTGTCCTGACGAGGAGCCACCGGCTGCGCCAACACGGCCTGTTGATTAATACGGTGGTGGGCCATTGGCCACTGTCCAGGGCCGAGGCATCGCAAATAGGGGCGAACCTGCCACTTCATTTGAGTTGCCTAGGTTTGGATATCCCCGGAACGAAGCTGAGGGGGTGCAGACAGCAGCTTGAAAAGACTTGTAACCTCGACCTTAGGCGGCGCATCCTGATCAGGCCGAACAATCGCCCAAGCTGAAGCAAAGTTGGCTTCAGCAACCCTGATTCCAAGTCGATTCTTGGACCGAACCAAACCGAGCTCATCCGGGATCTTGAGGCTCATGTTGAGAACTTCATCCTTATCACCGCGGCCCACACCACCGAGTATCCAGGAAGGATCTCCTGCTGCTAAGGTTTGGGAGTTGCGTACACCTGAGCACGGACCAAAATGGCAGGAGCGTGAAAAGTTCACAACGTGGGGCCCTGCAGTGGAACTGCACACAGGTGCAATCCTGTGGAGAGCCAGCCCGGCCATCCGCCCTGAAGCTACGACCGAAAAGAGCTTCGAGGCGGGCGAAGCCACTGCGGCGCAGATGCTCAGCGACAGCCCGGACAGGGACCCCACGGGCTCCTGGCACAATCTGCGTGAGCACCGGCACCTCGGTGCCATCCTGGTTGCGAAAGAACTCTGCGGAAAGTTGAAAATCCAGTGCTCTGGGCTTGTGTCCCTGGCGCCCCTCTATGGTGCTGGAATGTGCTGGACCATTGCTCGTGGGAGCCCGCCTCGATCCACGCACGACGGACTATGGGAAAGTGAGCGTGATTCAAGAACCCGGGGACCTGTTCTATGAGGTGAAGCATCAAACAACCCCTCCAAACCGGAGCTTGTTCCTCCCGTACTCCACGGTTGGCAGGGTCAAAAGGATATAACGTGTGGACATGTGATCGCGGGGCCTTGGGCCCACCAGATATGCTCAAGGCTAGCACACACAAAGACAGGTTCAGTGCTCGCACAGTGTTGCAGCAGCTCGGGCTCATAGCACTCCTCGGCTGTATCCAGTAGCCACTTCACTGCAAGGGAATACCCAAAGGAAGTAAGGATTCTAGCACCCTGACTCCATCCGTTGAAGCCTCCACAGAAAAGCTCTGCGACCTCCAAAGTGGTGTCCCCTGCCAGGACGGCACGGCCTGCAGTGGTATCGATGACCGGGCCCAGGGGGCCAAACTGAACATTCGCCTGCAAAATGCGCAAAGTCTGTGTGTCACGCACCACTGCCTGATTCATCGCCTCGGAAACCTTGACGGATGCACCCAAAGCCGAAGCCGGCCCAGAAGCAAGCCAGCCCGCCTGCAAAGTGCGTGAAACGAACCTATGGGTGTCCACAGACACCGCGCGACCGTCAAGTTTGACATGAAATGAAGCCGCTGCTTCCATGGGAACCGGCGCCCGGGTCATGGATTTGAACCAGGATCGAGGTCATCGCCAGCAAGCTTGCATGGTGGCGAATTGCCACGTGTGGTACGCCTTGTCTAGCGTGCGCCGATGCGAGGCAGCATTTCAACAAGCCAGTGCGTGCAAACTGCCCACTACACCGACCGCCGGCCAGGTGGGCGCAGACGCTGCTGTACTGCTCCGGAACAAGGAGTGGTGGAAAAAATGCTTTGCAGCAGTACTCAGCGTGGCAGTGTATTCCCGCTGATAAACGTGTGTGGGCGGAACACGGCGTGTAAAGATAACTCTTTGGCTGTGCTCTTAGCTTTCTCCACAGGGCGACCGTTGAATGACGCACGTCTCGGTTCAAGTTCCGGCCCAGACGAGTTTCAATTTTAATCTGCATTAGAAAGTCTTGGGCCGCCGACCATCATGTCGGAAAGGGTGCAGGCGCAGACTTAAATTCAACGGTTCATGTGGTTGCTTGGTCGCGCCGCACATGCGCAATGCAATCATGTGTGCCACACATGCTCGACGTTTCATGTGAAGGTTGTGACCAGACACCTACTGGCACCAGTCGCTGCCGCGGGCAGCGAGGACCGCCACATGATTCACAGTAGCGCAGTGCAAGTTGCAGATGCTTTCCTGGACTGCTACACTGCCTGTTCGCTTCACGAGTTTCAGCAAGGCCTTTTTGCGATATTGTGCATTGCTACTTGTACGACATGTAGGGCAAGCCGTGGCTTTCGTAGCGGGACCTGCTGGATGTCACCGTCGCAGACTCCGGTTTACGAGCCGGGCGAGCATTTCGGCATCTTCCCTGATTACGAGCACAAGTGCCCCATGCGCAGATGTGTAAGGTAAGTTCATGTCAGAAAAGTGGTGAAGTTAAAATGAAGGACAGAGGTCGGAGTTCAAATTGTTTGATTGTGTCGTGGAGTCACAGGGCATCGGGTGAGCACAGTGACCCTTCGGTACGCTTTCAGCATCACATGGCCACATGCAAGAGGTGGCCGTATCCCGAAGTCGGTATCATGTCCGCCCAAGAAACCCCGCCGTGAGCCCAGTTCGATGCAAGAGATTGAGACGACCTTGATTGTCCATGTCATGTTCTCCAGTTCTGTCAGCCGCAACTTTCGTGATCAGATGCTGAAGGTCGACGTTGTTTACGTCCTTTTTGGAACAAGCCGCGAAGAATTTCCCGGAGGTTGCATCGAGAGAGGGATGAGGGCGGGACGGAGGCAGAGTGAGCGAGAGGGTCCGAGTTTTTCAGCGTTAATTTTTCTTGGCCCACACCGCGGCACGCTCATCGGCATCACGGTGTGGCGCAGGAGGGCGTTTCATAGTTCGAGCTCTCATGGAAGCGTCAGGGCACAGTCACACCCACCATGCGACATGATCAGCTGCAGTTTCCTGTCGACATTGCTGATAGCGCCGGTGGCTAGTCAGGGGAGGCGGTGAGGACGAACGTAAATCACGCCCGGCCGAACGCACTGAAGCCTCTAATGATGTTGAGTGCCATACACGTTCGAACTTTTCCTTGAGCAGGAATTTCCCTACACCGGGGATATTGGATAATTCAAGGGCTCGGTCAATGATAGAGGCCGCAGAGGCACCAGGTCCCGGAAGCCGGCAGCTCCTCATGAGAAGCGGTAGAGCTTGGAAGCCAAAGGCCCATTGCTTCAGAGCGTTGAACCGTTATCGGTTTAGATGCCAGGGCCCATATTTGCCGAGCTGTTGAATCGGTTTTCAACCGTTGCCTGGTTCAGAGCTCCACAACAGTCGGACGTCGTAGAGCTGTGGATCCCTAAAACCTCCCACACAAGTCTCAGGTCCGGGGAAGTCCCAGTATGGTCACATAAGACTCCGTCATTGCGAGGGATGTGCGCTGTCAGGGTTAAGCTCCGCTTTCGAAACAGGGGATTATCTTTCGTTGGGCTATACCTTGAGGAAGTGCCGCAAATGTTTTCGAGAAAGCCAGCACCCACCCAAGATATGTTCGGTTGACGCTTCATGCGACGACTGCAGGGCGTTTCAAGAGCTCTTAGCACATATTTTTAGATGTGGGTACTTGCTGTGAGCGAAGCAGAAAACGAAGATGCGCCAAAAAATCAAAACTCACGAGGCATGGTCTTGTGTCTTTGCTTTTCGCCGAAGGTTCCCGCCCTGGCGGCTGAGAAACCGGTGCCGGCACTCGTTCGCACTGGCGAAGCTCCCTCGCTGCCTTGGGAGGCACATGCGACAGCCGTCTGTATGGAAGGGATGCATCGCACTCATTCAGTTTGGGATTCTGCAGCGGCAGATGGCTTGATCGATGTTTCTTCAGGCATGGGCGAAGTGGACATGGAAGGGTTACTACGAAGATGCTTGCAAGCTTGCGAAAGCTTTCATCCAGTGATCGAGCTGCAGAAAGTGGTGGGGGCGGAAGCAGCAGTTTGAGCTGCATTGGCAGGTCTGATATGTAGCAGATGCGATTACAACCATGGTTAGATGCACTGACGCAGCGTCTTGCAACTGCTCCCTATACCAGTTTGCATGATCTTGGCTGTGACAAGGCTGGGCGTCCAACAGTTTGGGAGTGTGACGATTTTTGGTTTCAATGCTGCTCGGCCATTGCTTGACAAGACTCGGCTAAATGCTCAAGGCATGAAGGCTACAGCATGTGCTGGCAGTTGACTCAGAGTTCACCTTAGGCTCCGGAGTGGATGTTGAGTGCTCTCGCGGCCATGCTTTGTGGCGGCAGCTCGGAAAGCAGAACTGTCGACTTCATTTCAGAACCGCGAACCGCATGTTCCCCCTTCGAGCCGTCAAGCCTGATCCAAAAAGGCAAATACGTCGGCATCTACTCCACGGATACGCCGGAGCAGGCAAATGCCGGTATCTGCAGATATAGCCAACGAGCGAACGAACCACGAACGAACCAACCAATCAACCAACCCACAAACCCACCAACCCAACATACCCAACTTATCCAGTTTATCCCACCACTAACCCGATCCCTCCAACCCTGCAGCCCAGCAACCCTCCAACCCTCCAGCCCACCAATCAATGAAGCAGCCAGCCAACCAACCGACCAACCAGCCAGTGGACCGACCCACCAAACGACTAAACAACGGACCCACTAACCGGAATGGTGTCCCGAGCGAGGTCGTTGGATCTCGAACAATGCATCAAACGAAGGCACGAAGGCACTAACCAACTGGAGCTGGCTGACTGAATCAACTGTTAGTGGACTACCAAACCTAAACTACCAAGAAAAGTGCACCAAACTAACTAAACGACCTGATCGACAAACTAGCTATCTATGTATGGTGATTTCAAACGGGAACACTGGGTCCAGTACCGGGTTGCCACCAGGTGCAGTACAAGGTCGACCACTCCAACGCAGCGGTGCCTTCGCTATCGCAAGCAGACTACCACACTCCAAAGCTACGTACTCATTCACGGCTTTGCCGTGTCATGTTCTGGGTGTTGGACCTCGTGGGATGTAGACGAGCCAAGTCCTACAATGACCAGGGTGCGGTGGCACTGCCTTGGGTCGAGTGCTCTGGCATGGCTGAGGTCATGGTGGTGGATGGAGAGATGGAGTTTGAAGCGACGGCGAAACATGTCGAGGAACGTGGGTTCCGGCCAATGCGGGTTCTTCATTTAGCAGAAGCATAGCGAGCAACTGGCCAGGAAATGCCTGAGCTGCGTGCCATCGTGTGCTGGGGCATGCCGGCACCGGCTCAGCTCACCAGGCTGGGGCTTTCGGTGAAGGTTCTGCTGGCTGGTGCCTCCAATCTTGATGCATGTCATGCTGCAGGTGCAGTTGCTTGACATGCGAAAGGGTTACTTGCTGTCACTCCTTAACGGACCCCTCTGCTTCTCTCTACATAATCACCTCCTGCGCCCAAATTCTATACTCACGACCATTCCGGGGGCGAGCTGGAGCAATGTTGTTCCTCACTGTGCCATCTTAGTAAGCGTGATGCATAGTACAACGCAGCTAGACAGAAACGACGTACAGCCGCCGGTTTGTGCTACTCGTATGTTGCCGCAGGAAAGACGGCAGTGTCTGCAAGGTCCTGACGTTCAAGGACATCTGAGCCCGGTGTTTGCTTGTTTCAGCTGCTGTGCTGTCCAGCTGCATGCTCAGCACATACGGCAGGACTGCTTGGAGCTTGGCGCGTCGCAGAGCTCTGATGGCCTGGCTACCAGGAAGGAGGCTCTCTGTTTTGTTTCACAACAAGCCAATGACTGCCCGCTTCATGACCCTGCAGTGTTTCGCGTGCTAGGCAACGCGGCCTGGACATGCTATGGGCATCATCTACACCTCCGGCACAACCGGCAACCCGAAAGCTGCGTTGGGCTTGGATTTGATAGTTAGATTCGACAGATTCAAGCGGGAGTTGTAAACAGAATCCACAAGGTCATGGTGCACCATGATGCTGCTTGCGCGATCACATCCATGGCGAGCCAAGCCGAGACAGGTGCTTTTCAAGGTCGGGCCGGCAAGGGTTTGCATCCATTGAACACATTGCCAGCAGACCAGTGTGCGGACTTGCGGCGGTGCCTGAACTGAACCGCCTATGTTTGTGTGTCTGTGTCTGTGATTGTTTTGTGTGTCTGTAGTTGGAATCGGGCTGGCTGTTGGTTGTGTCACATTGTGTCACTATGATATGCGCATAGAAGTATAGAAGTATCACGTTCGACACCGGGATTTGCAGGCCAAGGCAGCCTCGGTAAATGACATTGGGGCTTGTGTGATTCAGTCTTGCAGTGATGAAGAGTGCGGCCAAGCCTCAATCTGGAACCTGGACGGCCTTGGAACAGAGTCTCCCTGTGCCAGCATATCCTGCGCGGATTTTGTCGTACCTGCCTCTCTCGCACGTCGCCGGCTCGATGATGGACATGTGGAAGCTCGCCTCAACTGATTGCATGTATGAGGGGTTTGATTCGTAACGCTTTTTTGACTCCGGGCTTGAACATTACAAGCTTTGTAGGGCCCGTCCAACGTCTCAGCCACAACCGGAGTGGCACAGCAGGTGCAGAGTACGGAGCATACGGAGTATATACAGCCATTACCCTTTCTGCAAACTTTTGAGTCTGTTTGAGGTTTCCCATCTTCATGGCCGGCAGCAACCGAAAGCTGCACAGCACAATCTATTTTGCGCGTCCCTACGACCTGAAGGAGATGACCCTGGCAGCCCGCATCCAGCATCTCTTCTGAACAGACAGGCGTCGTACTGTTGCACCCGGCACCCTTCGTCTTTGGTCAGGCAGTCTGGTCGGCATGGCTCGGTTTAGAAACTTTGCAATATTGCAGTGCTGCAAGATGCTGCAAGGTTTGTGCGGCCGACCGTCTTCCTTGGCGTTCCGCGTGTTTACGAAAAGATGCAAAGCCGGATGATGGCGGTTGCTTCGACCATCACAGGTCCGTGCAGTGTGGGAGTGGCGCCTGTCCGCATTGTATCCGTCTCGGTCTCACATCATCCACTACACATCCCCACACAATTCTGATCCCAGACAGCCCTTGATGGAGGTTGTCTTGATTTATGATTTGTGGCGTCTTTGCCTATGACCGCGCGATACATCGTTGTTGCTGTCTGTGGGGCCGCGGGCAGGTGTGAAGAAGTCGATTGCCACGTGGGCCAAGGGAAAGGGACTCGAGTACTGCAGAAACCTGCAGGCGGGGAGCGGTGTGACCTAGCTCCAGCCGAAACAGCTCGATACTGGCGTGTGATACGAGCCAAGTTTCACGAGATTTGCTCGGCAGGCTGGCGGTTCGAAGGCGAAGCCTTTGTTCCTGACCGTTGCAGTCGGGATCCTAGGTCGTGCGATGCTTTCGGGATCTTTCAGGATTCTTTCAGCATCGGGTATTCAAGGTGGCTGAGGCAACCAACACGCACGTCATGCCTCTAGCCGGTAATTGTCCCGCTTGCCAAGGACAAGTTGATCCTGTCCAAAGCTCGCGATGCACTAGGTTTGGATCAGTGCAAGAGCCTGATCGTAGGCGGGTTCCTCGAGCTCGGCAGTGCGGAAGCATGCATGCTCTGCCGGTTTTGAGAGACAGCATTTGTAGTCAAGTGGTACGCAGACATTCGGGGTACTTTTCAAGACTAGATGCCAAAGAGGCGCTCGGAAGTACAAGATCCCTTACACACTCGAAGGTGCAGCTCCAATTTCTGCAGACACACTGGAATACTTTGGCCAGCTCGGCATGATGATTCAGAACGCCAGGGACCTAGGGTCGAGAGTGCAAGGAGAAACCGACGTAGCATTAACTGGTCCGAACGGAAGATCTTGGCATCTGCGATGGACAGCGGCCTGCATACAAGAATTCAAGAAGCTGCCGCAGGCTTCACCTCCCACATGCCGTCCACAGCAGTTATTTCGTGGCAGTGGCGATTGTGAGAGTGCGGATTGCGATGCTGATGGCCAGGCTGCGGCCGCAGCGCACCCCGCATTGGCTGACGATGACGAAAAGGAGAATCAGGGAGGATACAGATCATTGTTGACGACTGACGGCCCACAAACTCCGGCATCGATCACCGATGTTGCCACCACCAGCAATGTCTTCGTCACACCAGCACCTGCTGCGGCAATCGGAATCACCACAGTCGCTACACTGTCACCATCCTCGCGACCGCGACTGCGCCGGCTTTCGATCTATCGATGCGAGGACCACGTAGCTGCGACGTAGCTGCTATTGACTAATTGACTTGCTACACTTACAACATCCTACTACAGTACTTAGTACTGCTACTGCATCTGCGACAGTGTGCCGTTATGAAGATCGACACGTTTTACGTCCAGGCTTGGATGGCAGCGGTGCTGGCAGAGCCAAATTCCAACTCTGCAAAGCACAACATGACATGATCCTGCGTCGGATGGCGAGCAGTGATCACCCAAAGGTGCGCAAGCACAAACCCTGATAATGCTCTTCCGTTCGCAGTGGTTCGCAACTCGCCTGCCGACATTCGTTCTGGCAATGGGGGCCAGTTTCGGCTTCCTTGCCACTCTCGGCGCAAACGTTTTGCACGCGGCTCATGTAATCGTAACTAGATCGGCGGCAGAGAGGGAGGCAAACGATGTGTCCTGAGTTTCTTGCCTGTGCTTCCCTGTGGCCTGGGAACTCCTAAACTGCTTTCCGGAATCGGATGCCTTAGCCAAGCAGTTGCAGTATGTTGCAGTTATTGTAGCCTTGGCCAAAAGGCCAGATCGAGCCTTCAGCGCACATAGCACGCACGTGGACTGTACTGGCAGGGCTGGCAGGGTGTGGAACATTGGTGGATGTGTGGATCTCCAGCTGAAGATTCATCTTCGGTGGGAGCTGTGTTAGATGTTGTTAGGATTGCAGGAAAATTCCGCAAATATACCGTGCCCACCAAAGCCACACGCACACGACACTCCAAGCGTTGTGCCAAGGTTTACGGGATGAGCGAGTCGTCGGGACTTACCACATGCTGCATGCCATCGTGGAATGCCTTCGGCACTGTTGGCCAGGCACTCGCGATCGGAGTTTTTGGATGGTTCGCTGCCATAGGATGCTATCTGGGACAGGGGGTGGGATCTTGGCGAAATGTGTCTGACATAATGTATCGATGGCATCTTTTCCCTATATCTGACGATGCCATCGGACCTGAAGGCGGCAGAGTCCTTTAAGGATGGTTTGGGCTTGCCACACTTTGCTGTCTTAACGAGTGTTGCGCTACCGTAGTCGGTTTTCTAGAGGCAGCCTCTGAATCGTACGTAGAAAGGAAACAACAAAGATAGCAAAGTACCGGCTTGTTGCCAACAGCATCGGCCTTTGAGGGCTGGCCACAGACGGTGCTCATAGCGCTCGTAGTCGGCGGGGGAGGCTGCGGTCCGTCAGCAAGGGTGAGGACGACTGTCGAATGCCCACATGCCCTTGACAGCCCAAGTAGGGCGGGCAGCTGAAAAATGATGGGGGTGATGAATAGTGATGATGCGTGCCCGTGGCCTTGTCCGACCCATCGCAGCCGCAACAGGGCCAGCGCCTGGGTCCGAGTAGGGCAGCTGATGCTCAAAGCGGATTTGCTGCTGGCTGATGCGTTGCGTGCCCCTGTTTGCGTCCTTTGTCGTTGGCCCGGCGCAGCTCAGGCCAGTAGGGCCGTTCGCTTAGCCATCATCCAGCATGGGCCAGCTGAAGCTTTCCAATGTGGACTTGTCCGGCCGATCGCCTATCGCGGCCGCAGTAGGGCCAGCTGGTGGCGGTGGTGGTGCTGCGTCCTGCTGTGTCCCCGCCTCTTGCCCTCCACCCGCTCAACGGATGTTGATGATTCCAAGTAGTCCAACCTTTGATGGGGCGGAGGTTGACTTCGTCTTCGGACTCAGGCACGGAACATGCAAGGTCACCACAGTCTCCCCACGTCTGACCCAGCCGACAGAGTGCAGCCCGAGAGACCATGCCTGACACTGTTGCAGGCTCTGCCCGGCATCGAGGTAAAGTGCTTCAAGACCGGGCCAAATGGAGAAAACATCGAGGCGCTTTGAGAGCAACAGTGAGTTGACAAAGCTGAAGTATCCGACAGTGCTTTTTGGACAGTTGCTACAAGGTGCCGCGATGTCAACCCAGCGCCAAAGTGGTGCCCTGTGCATGTGTTCATGCAGTCTTGCAGCCTCGCCGTTGCCAATGTTGGCATGGATCTTCACCTGAACAGCACTGTTTCTTGGTCACGGCAGCAAAAAGTGGCTGGTGTTGATGTCCTGCAGCACAAGTTGACGATATTTCACGTAGATGAGCGGATCCAAGTGGCCAGGTGCCTGAGGACTGCCAAGGTGGCGGGAACGCAGTCAGTTCAGCAGCGGGAGACAATGGGAGACATCGTGCAATTTCTTCCAGGGTTGCCGCTGGTGGATAGCCTCCTGCTGATTAGGTTTCCCACAGGATGACAATCCAAGCATGCGCGCTAAGCTCCCGGGTTGCAAGCTTTGCTGTCACAGGGTGGGCCCTGTTGCCCTGTGTCAAAAACTGTTCCTTGCAACCTCGAGCTTCCCTGCGAGGTGAAATTTGCTTCCGCAAGGAGCTCAGGAAGCGTTCGGGTTATTTGTCGATCAGTCTTTGCAGAACCCGCCAGGCTTCGGTTCTGGTTGTAGTTGCAATCAGATCTTAATACATGGCCTCGAAGTCTCGAACGGAGAGAGCCACGTCTAGCTTCCTCGCTGAAGGTGGCCGGCACATCATGAGTGGCTACATGGCTAACCCCAGGCAGGAAGTTCGTGCACGGAGCGAGCGACAAGCAGCTCGGAATGGCAGCTTGTTTTGCAGGTTCGGTGAGGCCCACATCAAGGCAGCTTCTGCATTCGACGCGAATTGTGGTACATCCCTCCTGGGGCTTTGGTTTTAGCTGGCGCCAGGAAATCAGGGAAAAAAACGAGAGCACCATCGACAAAGACGGCTGGCTGCACAGCGGCGACAAGGCACCACCAACCTGCATCAGTTGCATTCAGTTGCTACTGTACACCGTTATACAACATTATGGAATGCTTCATATATGAGGCTAACGAAATTATGTAAATGCATGGGTCTTGCCGTGACTGCCGGTTTTGTGTGCACGCTGTTTGCTGCATGAGCGCATCCTCGAGCAACTTCTGTGGTTGCACGCGATGCCAAGGGGGTCATCTCGGGGTTCATGGTTGCCGTGGTTCTGAGCATTCCCCAGCTGGTGCTGCCACTGGCCCCTTTGCAGGGCTGCATGGACACCAATGGTGTCGTGCGGATTACCGGGCGCTACAAGGAGCTTATCATCGGTGCAGGCTGAAACAAGCGGAAACTTGACCTGCCGTGGAGTGATCACCTGTAGCACTGTAGCCTTGGGCCTGCAACAGAAGGCTATGACATTCGCAATTAGCTAGACTCCATGCCACCCATGAAGAGTCAACGCAGAACCACGTCAGGTGGCGAGAACATTGCGCCTGTGCCGGTTGAGGACAGTGACAGTCTCGGAAGCTTGGCTTCATGTTGCCCCGGACCACTTTAAGTGTCGTTCCAGGACAAGATCAAACAACTAGCGCCGGCACTCTCGAACGTCACAGGCTCAGTCGGGAGACTTCCGAGAAGGAGCGAGGAAGATTTGACAAATACAGTGGTCGGAGAGAGCTGCCATTTCTGAGGTCATGATGGTTGGAGACAATCGACGCTTTAACGTAGCAGTAGTGACGCTGTTGGCAGAGGCAGGGGCCGGGCTGCAAGCTCCTCAGTGCCACTCTACACAGACTCCACAACAAGCACCAGCCTAAGGGGAAGCTAAACTTTTCCCTGTCCACATTGTAGCGTCTTCCTCTGCTGCAGCCCCTGCAGCCCTTCGCAGACCGTACTTGCAAAGCTGCCAGCGGTTCTCGTTCTTACTAAAATCTCCTAAGCCTTAGCATTCCCCGCCCCCTCTGATTCAGTGTGCTGCTGGCTCAAAAACCCCCTGAGTGAGTGTGCCGAAACCAGGGCGCGACCGGCGAACTTCCCGGAGGCGACAACCTCACTGGAGCAGCACTGGAGGCTCGTCTTTGAAGATGTCCTGTCCTCAAGACCTGGTCTGTGACCTAAGTTGTCTTGTTCTTCAGAACCCTGGCCTGACTTCGCCGAGAGCGAGTGCCAAAATGTATTCACGCATATGCATATATATATATATATATTCACACACACACACACACATCAGAGCAAGAGAGTGTTGCAGAAGGTGCATATGATATGAATATAGCATATAGACGTATCTATATACAGCGTGCACTTGCTATGACGCGAACGCACGGCAGAGTGGGCAGTGCGACTCGCAGCGATGCTCATCAATGGTCGGGGTGACATCAAACGGGCCGTGCTTGCACAGCTTTGGAACCTGCTCTTCCCTGTGGAAACCGGCTTAGACTTGCTCTCAAGTAATGAATCAGAAGCAGTCATCCCGATGACCAGTCAATCAACCGAGAATTCAATGCACTCTCCTGATATGTAGGGCAAACGCGCACCCTGTGCTCAACTGTATCCGAAACCTGGCAGCAAGGGCAAAGTCCCTTTTGTCCGAGATCATAATGGGCGTGTTGGTGCCCAAACAAGACAGCAGCCTAACTAAGGCCTAACGAGTCGTAGTGAATCGTAATGCGATCTCAGGGTTTGGACTGGTTGCCTGAAGCCTTTGGCAAAGTAGATGGTAGACTGGGCATTTTGCTGCAGACGGAGTAGTTCGTGGCAGGTGAACCCAGCGGTGAAGACCATCTCAGCTGCGATGAAGGATGGGTTTCAATCTCGCGGGATTGCTTAAAATGCCTGCGGAAAAGCCCAGTTCGGTTTTGAGAGCTGCAACAGATAAGTGCAGCTCAAGCACTCTACTCAGTATTGCACGCACCATGGCGCTCTGAAGCTCGGATCCTGCCCCGCATCACTCGTCACAACTTGACTTCCCTGTTGTTTGCAACGTCGCTCCTCCAGGTCACTGCGGCTAAGAGTTTGCAAAGTGAATCGTTCCCGACTTCGTTTGGAGGATCCTGCGTGGCAGAAGTACATCGAGAAAGCCATCGAAGAAACCAACTCTGACACGCCACTCGGCAGCAGGCAGCAATCGCTGTCGCCATCGCATGATGACCCAGCACCTGTGTTCAGCCTGTTGACAAGCAGCACTCTCACCGGCTTGGGTCTGCAGGCTCTGGTGGTGCAGGGGTATTCAAGGAGCTTATCGAATAATAGACGAGCAATGGCATTTCTTGCGCTTGATGATATTCGTTGTCAGAGTAAGCTTGGCTCGCAAGAGACCCTGAGCCCATCGGGAGCAACGAGTCTGAGACAGTGAGGAATGTTTGCCAGAACAACAACTGGAAGATCCAGAAGTTTGCGATCGCTCCCCGGGATTTCTCGGTACAAACAGGCGGCGACGTGAAGGGACGGGCAGCAGTCCGGTGCTTGCGAGACATCTGACTAGAAGCGCCACTATTCTCACACTGTCCTGCTTCCTAGTTTGCGTCACAGATTGCAGACTGAAGCGCGCGACAGGAGAGTTTACGCCAACAATGAAGCTGAAACGATCCGTGACTGAGGAGCAAAAGCTTGCTGTCGGTGTCTGGGCGATTGCAGTGAAGTCTGGATTTCACTCAGTCTACCCAGATTCGACCCAACATGACCCAAACATAGGAGATGTGGAAGGAGCTCATCGATCCATTGTACAGCTGAAGCCTCTCGGCATCGAAGCAAGTTGGAAGACGGGAAGGATACCCAAGATCGTCCCAAACCTGGCACACTCGGAGCCTACAGAGGCCGTTACCGGGGAGGATGCTGCTACCAAGGTGCAGGCGCTGTCGTTCGGGCTGTCCCCTGCGATTGCAGCGAGACCCGTGCTCGGCAACGAAAAGACAAAAGCGATCGAATCACTCATGTTGAGCATGAGCTTGCGAACAGGTTTGGCAAGCACTGCATGAACCCCATCAGGTAGGGATCAGCGCGTGAGTTGCGCTTGCATTGTCTGGTGTGACTCAGCACATATCAGCACTGAAGACCCCCACTTCTGCATTCCCCGCTGTGCCTCTGGTGTAACTGTAACTTGACGATGACCTCGGCTCAGGCTACTTGTCCCGCAGCAGTGTGCCATGTCACAGCTGGTTCAATCATTTACAGTAATTGCAGTACATAAGCTCAACGATTCACATGGTGTCCGCTTTAGACATAGGATACTGCCCAGGTTATTGCTCTCAACTTGTTCTCTGCCTCTCTGCAGGCGTTTTCGTGTTGAGAGACGGCGTCCAAAAGCACAGGAGCAGGTGAGCATTCTCACGTAGAGAATTTCAATGAGCTTAAGGTCGAAGCCGAAGGCCAGCACATTCCTCTGAATCCTTACCTACATGTCCGCTAGTGTTCCTTTATCGAGAACGTTCGCAGCGGCTTGCAATACGCACACAGACTGGCGAATGTTGTCAAAAGCGGCAATGATGCTTTCGCCCTCTGCACCGCCCTCTGCTGCGGTGCCTATACGAAGGCGTTTTGCACAAAAAACTCATGTGACAGTGGTGCAGGCTTGCAATGCGACGTGGGTGCCACTCTAATTAGCCCCCGAGGTTCGGTCTCGGGAGATGGGGCTCCAGAGATTTTGAAGAGATGCATGTCCATGTGTGTGCAGTGTGTGCAGTGTGTGTGTGTGTGTGTCTCTGTGTGTGTGTGCGCGTGTTTTGCGATCGTGCGTGTGTGATTGTGTGTGTGTGTGTGTCGGCATTTGTATTCGTGACGGGTACAGTTCAACCAAATTGCACTTCATGGCTATTACTCTTGGAGCCGTCTGATGTACGTACCTGCAGTAGTTCGTGATGCCATTGTAGCCGGTGAGCTTTCATATGGAGATCGTGCCCACTGTTCTCTTTTGCTCACCACACTGTTCTCATGCAAACTTCCAGTCCTCACAGCTCAGACTTCATTTCTTTGGATCTACAGTTCTAGAACTCAGTCATGCTTCTGTCTATGACTTGCACCCTGCAGAGCAACAAGCCGTCGACTCTCTGAGACAGTTGTGAGCTAGGCCGATCTAACTGAGAAACACAACGGCCCCCTCTTGTCCTCGGCATATTCAGCCCTCATCGCTGCACAATTCTGCTGCAGGCCGTACAGTGAGAGGCAGAAGGCTCGCTTTGGCATGTTTGGGAAGCAGAAGAGTTCGCGCATTTTACCTTCGGGCTCTGTTGAATAAATTGTCGTCGCACGGGGCATGGGCCATGGCAGATGCTGTACTTCATAGTTTGCATCAGCGTACCTAATCGGAAGTTCGTGTTGACAGTAGCTCAGGCAATCTGAACTCTCCCCGACACTGTTCTCACAGCTCTTGTCGCCGAGTGATTGCTGACTGTTGCCCGAATTCCTTTTGCTTTTTCCGCAGTCGGCCCACCGACCTGGCAGCCAGAGACGCACCGCTGCCGGCCCAGATTGGTTTCAGGGTTGCCGTGGACTTGGATTTGAGGCAAAGCGGGAAGAAGCAGCAGTCGTGGCAAGCATCGGTTGCACCATCTATTTACAAACAATCGTCAAGCGTCAGCATTACACATGTGACGAAGCGTTGCTTGCGTTCTCGTGGGCTTGATGGATTGTTGTTTTCCTGAAAAGCGGCTATGGCGAGGCTTGTCATAGGTGCCCACACATTCAGTAGTTAGCTGGAGGCTCAACCAGCTCTGCTGCTACTTTCAGGTCAGAGTCTCAATCCGTTGTCGTGCGATTCGACATGCAAGCAGAAGTCAGTTTCCCCTGCACCACAAAGCAGAGGCACGTCCCTCAAAGGGTTTGAATCACCTCCGTGGATGTCCTCGGGGCACTACTCCTGAACGGCTCAGGAAGGTCTTGGCACTTTCTGCCGAGTTGAATCTGAGGCTGTGTGCTGCGCTTCGGCCTGCGAGGAGGTACTTCCAGCAAAGGCCCTATACGCACATCTTATTTTCACGGCGCAGACTCCAGGGGACTTGGGCCGCGGCTCGCAGCGGAACGGTCTGCGTTCGTTCGGTCCCCAGGGTCATGGCAATGTCCGCAACTGGCAGCAGCTGTTTGCAAGATGAGGCCTCGTGTTTCCAGGGCGGCTGCGGGACCTGTCGAGGTTTGCAGGGCATGGGTTGGCCACAGCCCGAGCAGAGTCGTTTTGAGTAGGGCCCTGCTCCGGTAGCGAACCCAACACTCACCAGTTCCTGAAAATACTTTGAGTTAGGGTTGCGAGACATAGCTTGGACAACGTAGATAGAGACCGGAAATGAATCGGGCAGGAGGGGGACACTATCGCTGTGGTCGGCGCTGGGGGAAATGCATTGCACCAAGATGCTGGTTCACGCCGAATGCTTGTGAGCTGGGTCGTTGATCACAGCAACAGACAGACATGTCTGCTGCAATGTAGAATGTCGTAGGCAAGCAAAAACTCGAAATGAGTCGAAATGTTTCTTTGCTCACATTAGATTGCCTGCAGCTGCTTGGCTCTGATAGCCGCAAGTGCCACTTGGACCACATCTGGCCAGCCGGTGACTATGGCGGCCACTTGTCTGCACAATCAGTGTGACGTTTGCAAGTTATGATCGGCGCTAGCAGTACCCGCGGCTTAGACTCTGCAGTGAGCTCAGCTGACAACTGGTTGTGCGCAGACGAAAAGGCAATGAAAAGGCTTTTTGGATAATCTGCCCGAAAGTAGCCAAGACTCATCGTCTGCAAGCAGCACATGTCGAGTCTTTCTGGGAACCCACACATAGACGACAGACTTCCAAGGCTCCCACCTCGATGCAGGCTGCTGCCACAACAGACCCGAAGACGGACCCCAGACTGTTGGGGCTCAAACAGAGTTCAAGATTTTCAGATTTCGGTGCTGCCGTGACGCGCAGAACTTGCCATGTCTGTTCGAAGCGCATCGCCGCATCGCCAACTTCAGTGCCATCACGCTGCAATTGAAACTGCTGCATGCCAGGAGCTCAACCACTTTTGCCAGAGGTACTGCCAGAGGCCGGTCACGAAAGCCGAGCCATGGCGTACAGAGCATACTGGAGGGTCCGGATACCAGGATGCGGCTTCTACTCGTACCTGTATGTCTGTGTGAGATTTTTGCCGAAACGCTTCACCCGAATGCTTCAGTTGTGCTCATCCGCCTGATTCGAAGAAGATCGTATGCCTTGTGCCTAGAGTCTGACCGAGGATATCTCGTACACCACGAACAAGTTCGGGAACCAGTGGCTCTCCTGTCAAGCTTCTGTTTACATGCTCCGAGCTGGCGCGGCCTCCCGCATAACGCAGAACAATAGAGGACCTGAAAGCTCACCCGACCCCGGGGCCAGCCAAGAGAACCCATAGTTCAATCGATGCCCCATGCCTTGCACATTCGCTCCAAGCAAGATCTGCGGCCAAGGTACCAAAGCATTGTCAAGCTGGACTGCATTCAGGCCGGCCTGCAGCATGCTGCAAAATCTGCAATCTGGAACATGCGGCCTTTCTGCGTCCCCGCACGTGGCACAACGCCAACCTCACCGAAGTCCTAGAGGACCAAGCCCAAAACCCATTGCCGTCCTGTCGTCAGGGCCAAGAGTACGCTGGCCACCTTTGTTTGAACCAGAAGGAGGCGGCACCTTGTCGCACTTACGTGCTTATGATCCTCCCCGGATTTGACTCTGAGAAACCTCGAGAGCCGCTCCGGAGTCAACCTCGGCCCTCTGAGTGCATCCCAGGAAAAGTCCGCCGCTGAGCAAGCCGTCATGGCTTTCAAGCCTCAGATGCTTGGAGGCAAAGAGTTCGGACAGAGGACATATCTGTGCAAGGCCAAAACCTTGCTTGGCCTCTTGGGCCGTCCGCAAAAACGTTTGGTCCAATGTCCAACATCCAAGAGAGCCCAGGATGGCATCGCTGCCGCCGCCGGCAAGCAAGGCCCGGCTTCTTGTCACCTGGGAGCGCTAGCACAAAGAGATAAGCCTGAGCGCACGGCAGCTACAGCTACGGATCCCGTCGCAGTTGTTAAGACACATCTTTCTACTCGAAGGATCCGAAGAAGAAGAAGGAGAGACCAAGGCCGGGTGCAGAAGTCTAGAAAATCATGGTTCAGGCTTGGCCTTGGCCTGGGTTCGAACGTTTCTGAGCCTACGATTCTTTCTACTCTGCCTCCGTCATTCAAGCTATGCACCGAACGTGGTACAAGGCTCACGCCGGCTGAGCTCGCCGCTAAGAAGGCAAAGCAAGCCGAGGCTCCGGGTTGTGGAAGAGTTGCGCGGTAGCTTGCATGGCACAGCGCCGGTGTGCGTTCTCGATGGACTGCGACATTTCTCACAGAAACAAGGAATTGCAGAAGTTCATAAAGTTTTCAAGTTCTTACATCGCCTGAGCTGCTTACAGGAAGGCGACAACCCCGCGGTGACGCCGAAAACGAGCCTCGGCATGAAGCATTCGCATGAACCGGTGGAGGTGTGGTGGAAGAAGAAATGGGTCAGTCGCCCTGAGCAGCTCACGAAGCTGTGTAAGATGACTATATGTGACTATTTTGGCTCTAGATAGCATACTTTCCATGCGTTCTTCAAGTTCATGGAATCCAACCGAGCCTGCCGGCAGGAAGCTGAATGCCTTGGTCGCCGACCCAGATGCTTTCGATCGCGAGTAGTCCCATCAAATCATTGTCAATTGCCATCCGGAGTTTCCTCAAGTACGTCGACTCAGAAGGGCTGAGGCCAAGGGCAGCCGCAAGATGGACTGCGCACGTAACGATGCCATACATCGCAACCCAACACAAGTGCAACCTACTGAACGTAGGAACCGTCTGCATAGGTCACTACATACAGTAATTACTTAGACTACTTGCCTGAGACGTCGTAAGGTCATGAAGATTGCGAAGCGCTATCTTCAGAAGGGCGAGACCATCTACGAGACAAAGACTTATGCCGGTGGGGGTCACCAGGTGCGGAGCCAGCGGAGCGAAGCTTTCTGCGTTCACGTGTCCCAGCCGCCAGGCGACAGTGCAGCTGAAGGCCTTGCCTGGCGATTGGGGGAGCCGCGTGTGGGCAGGCCACGTCAGCTCTACGAAACAGAAGGCGGGACCGCAGCATCTCACACAAGTATCGACCTGCTGCTGTCGCAAGCTGTTATTGTTTAGCCGCTTAGCCCTGCCCCATAGCCCGAAACAAGCAGCTTGCAGGCTGAGCAAAGTGCAGCCGAAATTGCACTCAAGCAGATCAGCGAGGCCTTGTGGGCTGCCCTCGCAGTTGGATTTGTTGGGATAATGTCGGTTGGGGCGCCGCAAGTGAGAAACAGGCATAGGAGCGTGCGGCTTTCTCACCCAGATCACATTGGACTACATGATGCGCGGGGAATCCTAAGCTAACCATGTCTCAGACACAAACTGATGGCTTGGGGTTAGAGAAGCGGACGGAGCCAAAGGACACCGAGATGATGGCAGAGGCTGCTAAGCCCAAGGGCGCGGGGACCCGCACTTAGATTCCGCGATCATGGGCATGTCAAACCTCCTGTCACTGGTTCCGCTCAAGGGTTCTTCTAAATTCCATTACAGTCTTAGCCTTGCAGGCCTGAAGGTGTAGACAGGATTAACATTGGCAAGCGGCAAGCGAGATCGGCGAGCCGACATGCATGATGTGCTTCAGATTCTGTTGCTTTCTCCAGAACCCACGTCAGATCTGAGGAAAGGAAAGGGCAAAGGCAAAGGAAAGGGCTTCGGCTTCATGTGGGGCCCCTGGGACTGGCAGATGATGCCGCTCAGCAGCACTGCGGCCGACAAGGATAGGATTTCAGAATGGTTTGGCAGATGGAACTTCGCGAAAACTGCCATTTGTTGCTAGGATTAGGCCAGATGAAAAGTACGGACATCTTGGACCATTGATCATTTTGCTGGAGGTGGGGCGGAGGGCCTTCTGGGCCCAATCTCCCGCGAGAGCGGGTTACAGAGGAGCCGGTGAAGGGCGAGGTCCTGGAGTGGAAGGCGCTGGCGATTTCTGCACACCCTGTCACTGTCGGCTAAACCCTTAAAACATTTCTCTGGAGGATAGCTTCGGCTGGCTGAAGTCCAGCGCGCCCATTGACCACCCCTCGGCAAAGCAGCGCGAGGGTAAGATCTACGCAAGCAAGAAGGCCGGCAAGAAAACAGCACAGGATGTGATATAAGCCGCTGGACAGCTTCCCTGGAGCCGCCATGCAAAAGCTAACCACGTCTCTCAGCTTGCAAGGATGTGACGTCGGGAACGATCGAAACAGGATCCAAAGTCAGCTTCCATGTGTACAAGGATGACTTCCTGGTCTGCTCGTTCAGGGTGGCAGTGTAATCATAGCTAGAGTCTAGATGAGTCTAGAGCCAGGCCGTTCTGCAGCCTCCATGGCCAGCATTCGGAGGTTGTGATGTTGTGCCGCGCGCGCAGGACGCCCAGGGCCTTGGAGCAGAAGAAGTACAGGTGCTGTGATTTCTTGGCCATAGACGTTCATAATGAGCTGGGACCGTTTCAAGTTGAAGGGTTCAGGGCTGCCTAGCTTCCGGCACCCCTCCAGAATCCGACATGAGAGTGTTACAATCCTGGATGTTTACAAGCTTACGTACATGGAGCCTCCTGCAACCCTTGAGCTGACTCTTGCCTTAGGAGGCAGAGCCCAATCAATGAGAAGAAGAAGGTTTTCAAAAGCCTCTTTGGAAGCGTCTGCGAGACCTGATTCCAAAAAGAATGACCAGCCGAAGAGTGCAGTATCATCGATCGCTACTTCGCAGACGAATTGATTGAGAAATGCCCTGCCACGCACGACGCATGTTGCTCTTCGATGCGCACTCATGCGAGGCAGCTGGGCATAGGAAAAACAGTCCGATTATGTCAAAGTTTTGCCTTTGGCAGATACCCTAAGGGTCCAATCCCAAAATTGAGTCTGCAACTACTGGTACTGGGCTCGTGTGACCAGAACATAGAGATTCAGGACAGCCTGCTGTTGTACGTTGTAGTCTTATGCTTGACGTCGGACCCTTAGGGATAGTTTTGGGACGGCGAGTGTATTTGATCGAACAAACACGTCGAGAGACTGTCGTTGAGAGAACTGGGAGTCCGTCGACAGTGCCGATGATTCTGGAGCATGAGACCTGAAAAGAACGAGCATACAACTCGAAACACTGATACTCGGGATGCTGCGGCACCGCCCAGTGCACTTACTTGTCGGTTCCCTCTCAAAAGACGCCAGCTTTGTGGGAAAGCACACCAATTCACTGATGCGAGAAGTCAGTGAGATTCCCGTGTTTGGGGTTTTTTTTGATAGACACAAGATAACGTAGTTATTTGCATTTGTTGAGTGGATGCCCCAGACACGGAAGACGAGACGCACCTGAATGCTGAACGTAGTGCCTGATTTGCTATCCCGGCAGCTGTCAATACGTTCAACAAGTGGCTTGGTCACTGGTTGCCGCCAGCTGCTGCCCTGCTGATCGATTGTGGGCGGTAAGAAGCTGCAGTTGTAAACTAGCGGAGCCACTGCAACACAGGTTCGATCCTGGTGAATTTTGCCTCTTGGGCGAGGGCCGCCGCACACCATCGGCAGATGTGGTGGGTGACCAGGGTGAGTGCCGACCTCCGTGATTTCCCTTGTCCTTGGTGGTATGTCATTCGGCAGCCTTTTCATTAAGTCACCGACCCACGGCGATGTTCACGAGCCTCGGCCTCATCCTGCTCCTATCCGTGTCCAGCCTGTGACGACACAGGTTCCCACGAGGTACGAGATGTCTTGCCAAAGACCTGCCATGAGTAGAAAAAGAGCAAAGCCGGTCCCACCAAAGAATATCGTATGGTCGGCACAGCTTGTGAGGTAAAACAGATCACACAAATGTCACCTACCCACTGCAGCAACGGCAACAAGAGTCGGAGCCAGCCTTCTACTTGCCATCGTTTTTGTACAGCTTCGTGTGACCAGTGGCCGCAAACTGCTTCGACTGCCACTCGTGCGCAGTGGAGCGGGTCCTGCCAAACTCGCAGTAACAATGCAGCGATCGTGACATTTTACAACCGAATCAGTGGCTGGTTTGACATTAGGGACTTTGACAGCAAGAACAATTATTCCAGTCGTCATACAGGTCATACGAATAAGGGGAGCGCTGCAATCACTGGAAGTATCACACCGCCGGAACAGCAACATCAACAGCAGAAACACCATCGCCAAAGTCAACAACAGCAAGAACCACACTCCCGTAAACAACCACTTAACCTTGAATTTCATTCAAGCCCAGCCAAACTTTAGATGGGTGTGTTTTCATTCGAGCACCCACATGAACTGATACTGCAGCTGGCTTGCTCAACAAGCCGGGCCGATCCTTCGTCTCCTAGTTCTCGTGTCATGCCATCTACCAACCATTCGACAAGTTGGTTGTTTGCATGACTCTGTTGTGCTGTTTGTGCTTTGACCGTGAGCCACTGCCTGCTCTGTAGTGTCAACAGCCCCCCAGGTCAGAGAGGAATTCGAAGGTCCATCATAAGCCCACCCAACGTCTGCGCATGCGCATCAACTTGCACTGCCAAGGTGGGCCGACTCGTGACCCAGCGGCTCTGTAGCATGAACATGTTCCAAGTGCACGGAGTGCGCGACCCAGTCATTGAAAGAACCTGTACCCTCCCCACCGCATCGCATCAGCGCATGAAAGAGGACGACCTTCCTTCCGGTTCGGTGTTCGCAGCAGCTTGACTCTCCCCAGGTCCTTCGGAACAAAGAGAATGCCAAATGGGTGGCTTCCTCAGCCTAGCGGCCTAGCTTTGGAAGAAAAGCGGAAGGGAGCTTCCCTAGACCTCGTTTGAGGCAGAAGGCATCTCGGGCCTCGAGCTTTTCGAGGCGGCCGTGGCCTCAGCAAGCCGAGCCTGGGCTTAGAGCGGCAGAAGTTTCCGACCCGAGGACTCTCGAGACGCCCTGGCCCTCCAGGAACCGCTCAGCAACAGACCCGGCAATGCCCGGCAAAGGGAGAGTCTTTTCGCCAATGCTTCCTTTGCAGCGTGCCGAGCATTGAGCCGTGCATAGCGTCCACCGAGGTGCCGCAAAGGCAGTGGCGAGAGGCCCAGAATTCAGAAATCTCGGTGCACAGAAGGGGGGAGACGATGTCCAGACGAAGAAAAGCAAAGTCCGGACTCGAGACCTTGCCATGGCCAGTCGCGACATGCCGAGGTTTGCACTACCGGCGTCCCAGCCTTCGGCATTGCGGGACAGCTGGAGCCTTTGGAACCGTCAGAACGCGCCCCTGCAGTGACTATCATGTAGCTTTGAGGCTTTGGTCCCTGAGATTCGAGGTTTCGTTGGTAGCAGTTTTGGTCGTTGCATGCTCGCTTGCATGTCTGTCATCTCTTGATTCATTGATGGCTTTCCGACGATCGTCCTGGAAGTATTTTCGAGCACAGTACAAGCGATTAGAAGGGCATCACTGAAAGAACTAGCTAACGAACACTGCAACACAGACGTGATTCGTACATTGGTGTCCGGCCAAGTGGTATTCGCGATTCAGCCTGCCACCCGTGTTGATGAGCTTTGCACAGAGGTGGGAGAAGGGCAATCATCCAGAATCCGCCCGGCTCCCAGCAGGCTGTTGGCCGGCAAGGCTGGTCAAGCCCGTGATGTCGTGCCCACATGCTTCGGAATGAATCAGCTTCATGTGGGAGCATGACGAAGCCCTGTTTTGTGAATGTCTGAGGTGGATCACTTCGGTGTGAAGAATGCTGCGCACGTTTGGCTTTTGCCTCGGCAGCGGTGCGGCCATCAGGTCTGAGGTAAGGACGACATATCGAGCAAAACGCCGGTTATGGCAGCATGAGAAGTGCCGCACCTCTTGAAGTTAACCACAGATGAAAAGACGTGTTGAACTTCATCACTACCCTGTCTTTCCGTTAATCCCGATGCCCTTTGCTCACTGGCCACCAACCGCAGAAGATGGCTGTCTGTCATCATTTGGCTGCAGTACAGGCCAGACTTGCTTCACACAAGTATGCGCGATCCAGCAGCGCTTGCAAAACAAGCGATGTCAACGGTAGGGCTTGCTTGGAGCACGTGCTCAGGTCTGCGGCTTCGGGGTCCTAAGCTTAGCCACTTCTCGAACGGCTGGCAGACTTTGTGTGTTTCACTTTTCGGCCAGGCCAGGTTTGTAGGCACCGCACCCGTTCGTGCTATGAAGGCCGAAGCGTCGCTTTGTGCTGATGTCTTCGATAGGCGGGCCCCGGGTGCCATTCCAAGGGCTTTTCGTGGATCGATTTTGGCTGAAGCTGGGATCTCGTTGTCCTCTAAAGACAGCACAGCTTACAAAGTCAAAGTCTGGGGCCCGTCCAACAGCTCTCCCGATGTCCCGGGCTTGATGGCAGTACCCGCCGAAGACGCCAAGGGCTACTGTATCCTTCCACCGAAAAGAATGGCCTCACGCTGTCAGTGAACTGGATAGCACAGGGGAACAGTGGCTGTTCGTAGCGATGTTCGCCCTGAATATGCTAGAAGGAGAAGTTCATAGGATAGGGCTTCAGCGTTCGACTCGGAGTTTGGGGACGGGTGTCGAGTTTTGGTGTAGGCCTCGGCCTTTTTCTTCAAAACACTCCCTGTAACTAGAGCCGGCTAGCTCAGGGCCCACCAAGCCGCTGGCTTAGTTCAGAGAGGGTTTTTAAGACACTCTGCTGCGAGTCACAAGCCGGGCTGCTGCTCTGCTTCAGTCTGCTCCTCTGTGTGCTTGGGAGTTGCGACTTCACCGGCTTGTGGCGGAGGTGTCACGCGGCGCGATGGGCTTCCCTACAGCATCCTCAATGGTGGCGGCGTCTTAGATGCGAAGGCCCGTCGTGCAAGCGGTGATCGACTGGTGGAAACCTCGGTGAAGCAAATAGTTTGGTTTAATGGCCGAAAGCCGGAAACACCACCATTGTCGCCATTGTTCGTAGCTAAGCAGGACTGCTCCGACTTATTTACTAGGTGCGCCGAGGGCGTTTTGATGGATGATGGAAGACACTGCAGAAAGCTGCTCCTGTGCGAACTTGTCCGGCATTTCCCTGCATCTTTCCCACATGGCAGCCAGGCAAAGGGTGAAGCGGCCGTGCGCGAGCTTGTCCGGTGCTCGGGGGCATGTCCGGAAACTTCAAGTCAGACATCGAAATTCCTGTGGGGAGTGCCTTTGGATGTGCTAGTACAACTTCTGGCTGGTAGCGAGGGGGGAACCCCGAGGCATGAAACGCCTGGCATGCCTCGCGAACCTGGGTTGGCGAACCGTTTAGGTTATGGATATGCGCGGCTCCGCTGTCGCATCTTCCGAAGCTGCGCCTCCACGGGAGAAGTGAACATGAGCGCAATTGGATGCTATGTTACTGTCCCCTAGCCGCCGTGAGCTCCACAGTGCACGAAGGCCATCGGGACATGCAGTCTGCGTTGCTGCGTCATGGTACCAAAGACTCAAGCGAGGCCACACAGCGGGGCTTCGGTGTCACAGTGGTTCGGCCTGGGCAGCCGAGACCTCAGCCTCTTGGTAACTCGTGTCATGAGTCTCCACAGTCAAAGACCTCATCAGCGGTGATCGGCTTTCGCTGACTGCAAGTTTGCAGAAACGGCACTGAATCACTTCAGGTTGTTTGGCGGGCCATATGACAACAATCGCTACTTGGGCACACTCTTCCAGCTTGACAAGGTGGCTAGATGTGGATACTCGGCGCTTCGCCATTTTGAAGCTGAGGGTTTTACCGTTCCTAAGCAGAGCACAGATGAGTGTTGCATGCTTGGCCAAGCTGGGATGTTTTGAGAGTCGTTCACGACGACATTTGCATTTCAGCTTGCAGGACTCCAGCGTTCAGGCTGTGAAACTTGAAGCTGGAGACACTGCGGTGGGCGACACTTTGCCCGCGACCAAGCAAATTCAGAGGAGTCGTGCCAAAGGTGCTGCGGAGCATCTTCAGCAGCACTCTTGCAAAGGGTGTCCATCTAATCAGGCACACTATCTAGCCGTTCACTCACGTGTATTTGTGGGCACGTATATGTGCACCGATGCCGTGTCTTTCGGTGTCCAAGTATCTGTTTGTCTGTTTACCTGGTGCTTTTGGCACGACAACAATAACGCTCTCCACGCTCTCCGACATACCCATCCAACTGTACTAAATTCCTACAGCGTGCCTGCCTATTGTAAATGTACGCAGATGCATCTGTGCAATGGGAGCCTGCAGACACCGCGCATAACCGCCGGAAATATTGTAGCTGGAGTGCCGCCAGCCCGCACTTCCCATAACAAGCGAATCAACATCGGAGCTTATGTCAGCCCCCCTGTTTTGGGGGACGGCCAAGCCTTTTGTGCGCAACTCGGCTGAGCGGTACTGCCAGATTGCCAAAGCTTGAGCCTCTGCACAGCTCAGCCTTCGCAATATGATCACCTGCACGTCACACACAGCTGCAGCAGAAAATGCAGCGAATGGACTGGATGATGCACGTCATTCACGGCGAAAGTCGAAGCGCCGGAGATAGAGAACCGATGCCCGCAGCATCGCTACTTCAACCCCGAGTTAGTCCCAAGCACTCTCAGGCGCAGTTCACTCGCGGGCGTCCTCGTCCGCAGTCACAAGCTCGGACTCGCCTTTCGATCCGTAAAACTTAAGACTGGCCGACATGAGTTCTTGAGGTCTTTTTTGTGCGGAACCTGACATGGAGTTTGCAGCAGGGGCCCAAGCTGTAGGATGGACTGAGTCCTCTTCAGCACATCTGGGTTCTAGCTGCTCGCATTTGGGGCCCATGTCCCAGCTCTGAGGGCAAGTATAGGAAGTTAGTGAAGCTTCAGTTTGTTTGAGCCTTAGACCGGTTTCTGAAATCCCGGCAGCCACTTCAGCTGATCTTCTCGCCTTCGTTCTCCTTTGATGGCCGCCTCCAAGGAGTTACTTCTTGTGCTGAATGCCGGGAGCAGCTCCTTAAAGTACGCTCTTTTTAGCATTGCCGGAGCTCCTGCCCGTTGGAGTCGGGTGGTGCATGGGCTAGCAGAGGGCATTGCCACCAAGACTGAGTGCCGAATCAAGGAGGAGACGCATGAAGGCAAAAAAGTCCACAAGGTGGATCTCCCAGATCACCGGACGGCTTTGAGCCGTGTTGTGGATTTGTTGCCTGGCAGGGATAACATCAGCTCGGTGGGTCATCGAGTCGTTCACGGCGGTGAGAGTTTTAAATCTGCTGCCTTGATAAACCAGAGAGTTCTGCAGGCCGTTCGCGATGCCACTGTCCTCGCCCCTTTGCACAACCCCTGGAACATCTTGGGCATTGAGGTTGCCGAAGAGCTGTTCGGGAGAGACTGCCCACAAGTGGCTGTTTTTGATACAGCCTTCCATCAGACAATGCCACCTCGGGCATACATGTATGCTCTCCCTTATGACCTTTATAAGACGCACCACATCCGGAAGTACGGATTTCATGGCACTTCTTACCTTTATGTGGCGGAGGAGACATCCCGAGTGCTGAAGAAGCCTCTGGACAAGCTGAATATCATTGCCTGCCATGTGGGCAATGGCGCATCAATGGCAGCAATCAAGCAGGGCAGATGCGTTGACACCACAATGGGAATGACTCCTTTAGAGGGCCTGGTCATGGGCACACGGTGTGGCGACATTGATCCAGCTGTGCCTTCCCACCTCATTGAGCAGCTGGGATACTCCGTGAAGGAGGTCAACAACCTAATGAACAAGGCATCGGATGTTCAAAAAGACTCTTGTTCAGCTCGGGATGTCTCAATGTTGCCGTGACAGCCCTGTGCAAGGAATCGGGGTTGCTTGGGCTTTGCGGTCTGTCTGACGACCGGGACGTTGAGCGTGAATACTTTGAGCAGAAACCACGAGGCACACTGGCGAAGGAGGCCCCGAGAGTCTGCGAGCAATCTGGCTGCTCTAGAAGGTCGCATGAACTTTAGCCTCGCGCCAGGTCCAAGTCTACCGGATGCGCAAATACCTGGGTGCCTTTATGGTCGCGCTTGATGGGCAGGCTGCTTGGTAATGCCTGCCAGCGGTGCTGCCTGAGATGCTTCTGGCAGGTAGATGCTTTGGTGTTCACAGGAGGTCTCGGGGAGAAGTCCCACCTCTTAAGGAGCGGGGACAGCTTTTTAAATTTATTTCGCTTCCAGCATCGAGGGGCCGCCGCTGCCCAGGACGCTGGTCTGCCAGGGCTTGGATCGCCTGGGCCTTGAAATCGTCGAGGACCTACTGCTACCCCGTGTTGCACCTGCATCTTCGAAGCCAGTTTGTTTAAAGATACTTTCCTTCGGAGGAGGCGAACCAAGCGAAGGGCGGCAGATTCTCCGCGACTTCTCTGCATGCAAAGTAGATTCCAGGCTGGCTTGACACAGTCCACGAGACATGCCAGCCTCAGCATCTATAGAATATAGTCATCATTGTCGGCACAGAGGAGGGCCATGCCGAAGAAGATGGAACTTGCATGTCTGCCTCGCAATGTACTAAGATCCTGCCGCACACGCAAGCCTGAATGGCGGTCGACGCGAGTAGATTTGCATTGCCCGCGTGTGAGAGAGTGTCGAAACTTGTGGCATGTGTCGGCTTGCCGGCCTCTGCTTTCTCAGAGAACGGTGACGGTGAGTTGGAAAGTCGGAACCACGAACTAAGGAAAACACTCGCTTGGACTCCAAGCGCCTCTCAACGCAGATCTGGGTGATCCCGACCGACGAGGCCAGATCTGGACCGCAAGAAGGGTCATCGGCCGGGCTAAGATTTGGACTTTCCTCGAACGCTGGTCAGTAGCTTCATGTCATTGCGTCATGTTGCATCATGCTCGGGAGGAGCTCTGCATTGCCCAGCAAACGCAGATGATTGTGTCAAAGGACATGGTTACGCAGTGACTCAAAGAAGTCGAGCTGCCGCATAGCTCTGGACATGTTAGTTCTATTGTTTGAATACTCCAAGGTAGCCTTATGATGGCACTGCACAGAATCAGCCTTCCACTGCACAGAATGGCCGACCGCTCTTTTGATGGATCTCGCGAGTCGAGAGCTTGTGACAAAAGGAAGCAGAGTCGGAGGTAGCGATTCTCTGGCAACCAGAAGTTGCATTAGTCGTCGCTGTCCTTTCCTGCTTTGTGCTGGCACAACGCGTGCATGCCCATTATGTAGGTCATCAACGAGGATGGCGAGTGCTTGTCTCAATGACTGGCAGAGCTCTCCTGTAGCATTTTTCGAATATGCATTTGGGTATCGAGCCAGTGAAGCCTGATTGCATCTCGCGCCTGAGGCCTCCATCGGAGGAGGCTATCGATGCCATGCTTCGATCGCCGGCAACCCAGATTCCGGGATTCTTTGGTCGCTTTAGTTTTGTCGGTATGCAGAAGCAGCACTTGCCACTGGCCAGGATATCACCGGAGGCCGCAGAGGTGGGATGCCCAACAGGGTGCGATTTGGATAAAGCGGCTGGTTGATGTTTCGCGGTCGGACTTGAAGGCTGTGCAGTTGTGCTGTACTTCAGGATCTTGTCCGGACAAGTCGCTTGTTCTCCTCTCCGCTGGAGAAGGGGGAGAGGCAAAACAAGAAGCGTCGCTTGATGCCATCTCAGGAGGACGCAGGACCTCAAAAGCTCTCACTGCTCCACCCGGTTCAACATCCATTTCAAAGCCTGTGAACGCACCATATGTCGGATGGGAGCCTGCGACCCATGGAGCTGGGAAAGCCGAAGCGGGAGCGGCAGGTTGCGGCCTCGCACATCATGGAGGAGTGTCTGACAACTGCCAACATGGCCGGAGTGGCACACGCACTGACTTTGGAGTGGGACCTCGTAAACTCCACTTCTGGGTCACAATTGCCCTTCGAGCAGGTGCCCCCTGGTTGATGCCCTGGCGTCTCGTGCACCGTCCCTGCAGTGACGGTAGCTCCAGCCTCTAAACAGCTGTCGGTATTCATCGCGAGTTAGATATGATGATTCGTGCTTGGAGGTCAATGTTTACGAGCCTCAGTATGTGCATTAAGGCTTACGCGTGTCTTCAGGGAACAACTGCCGTGCCAGCATACACTTCAACCGACCGCCCCACTCACGTCCGGAATGGACATTGAGCCCTGGAGAAAAAACACGCACAGATGTACGGGGGACCGCTCCTACTCTTGTGGCAGTGGCAAAGAAGAAGCAAGAAGACTGCTGATGTATGCCCGGTTTCGAGGCGGATGAACAGATGCAGAAGAGATTGGGTTTGGCAGGAGAGACCTTCGGCAGCGGCCTTGGCTTGATGGCTCCAGGTCTAGCCGAGTCTAGCATGCATGCAATCCCTTAGAGGTGCTGTGGTAGTCTCATCTACTGAAAGATCCATGAGTTCGGACTGCTGAGTGGGTTTGCGAGGTTCGCAAGGCTTCGCCGCACATGTTGACATGCGTTTAGTTTAATGAACAGCCCGAGTTAAGGGTTAGCTTTTAGCATTATGACGAGACGACGGAGTCGCTCCAAGATCCATTCCAAAGCCCTTCAGTTGAGCTCTTGTGAAACCTGTGCCGTGTGTCTGGACTGGAGTTGCACACCATAGAAGCGCTGCCCGAGGAAAAGCCGTCGAAAACGTCGTCAGCGGCAAATTGTTTGATAAGTGATGGAGCCAGGAAGCGCAGGCAATCCGAAAAATGCAACCGCAACGGTGAGAGTTTTTGACATTTGGCAGACAAAGCGCGACAGGGGCCGCACCGTCTTGAAAGAGAGCTGCTTCGTGGCACCTTCATGATGCGGACACGGGCAGCATGCTGAAAGCTGGAGCTAGTGCAGCAGGAAACAGTTTGCATGGTTGAAGCACACGCCGCTTTGCCGGATCTCGCAGCCTGCACCACTTGGGCAACATGCCGTTCGTACTGATAACGAGAATCGAGAAGCAACCCATAACCCATACTTCGAGGGTTCAACTCCTCTCGGACTCAGTGAATTCAACAGCAGCCCTCTACCCCGAACACGGGTACAGCAACATTGCAAGTCAGCCAGCTCGGGTTCTATGCATATCAAGGTTATGCCGTGCCATCCCTGAAAAAACAAGCCTTGCCTGTCGCAACATCCTTGGCCAGAGCCGGGCTGAGCATTTGCCGTAGCCTCGAGATGCCTTCAGCTCGGCTCATTGCATTCTAGATTGTAGATGTCCGCGGCCGCAAATGCCATTGCTGCAGCAGCTGTTGCCAACATCCGAGCTTTGTCCTCAGAAGATAATGATATTGTGCTCATGCTGAATCATGGCATATCACGGCACAAATGAGGTTTCAGGTGTTCCCACCAGACATGATGGTCACGCCAATGTCACGCCACACGTCACGACACGAGGACTTGCTAATCCTAGGGCCTGAGACAGCAAGGTGCCTGTGTTTTTTCTGTGTCGTCGTGCGCTTGCACTGGTGCCATCCAGTCCTGCTGCTGTGATGCAAGACCTTTACTTCCTTGCAAACCCCACGCAGGTCTTGCCTGAATGACCCCAGCTCCTGTTGAACTGGAAACGATTGTCGTCGCCCCAAGAATTCCTGCCTTGCCAGGCAACGGCAGCAGAGGCCCTTGCCAGAGAAAGGCAGACCAACGACCACAGCTTAGCCATCAATGCACGGACAGTTGTAGAGAATGCATCGCGCTTCAGTTTCAGATGTCGTAGCACATCCGTCGTGAAGCAGGCTGCAGCATGCAGCATGCTAGCTGAGGCCTCCGCGGCTGAGCTGCTGCAGCCACGGCCAGCGGAAGCACCGGCGAAGCCCGGCCACGGCTATAGGCCCGGGAGGGGAGGTTGCGATTTCACTGCAAGCTCGAAGTCTCCATGAGATGGCACACAAAGCCCTGTCCGTTTGGCAGTTTCAGCAAGCTAAGTGCAGCGGAGCAAGCAGCGCCGGAAGCCAAGCAAAGGTTGAGGGGCTATTGCGATGCCACAGATGTGAGCCGCGGGATTTGCTGCAGCCGTCACAGTCAGGGAGAGAGATAAGGCACCCCGAGACAACTATGTGCCGAACAGTGCGATGCCGTCGCTGGGATACGCTATTTCGGCACCAAACACCCAAACAAGAGCTTGAAACAAGCCCGTAGGGCGACTCCGAACGCGACACGCTCGCAGCTATTCTGGCTTTACTGTTATGGCTGTCTGGTGACAGGGGTCTGCGAAAAACCGCAGACATGCGCAAAGAGTTGAATCATGCTATAGCCGTTAGAAGTTGAAAGATCTGAAGCGAAATGCTGTGATAGTGCTTGCGGCCATTCTGAAATTTTCCCGTTTGCTTTGCAGACGGAACTATTTCAACAGGAAGCTCACAACCTGGTAGCAGCCGGCCAATGGGCTTTTCGTCACAGACGACATATTGTGGACAACTCCACACTTTGAAGCCGTGGGCCCTGAAACTTTATCGAGGAATATTAAGCCTTAACACTGCAGAGCACCCTGACATGCCAGCGCGCCGGACTTATGAGCCATGCCGGTGGGCCCGGAGCTGCCCGCTTTGGCAGCTCCATGGCTCTCTTAGAGTACTGAGTTGCTGAGCTGCGTTTGCTCACAGGATTACGAACGCAACGCCGCAACACTTAAGGCACCTCTTTCAGCATTCCAAACTCAAAGTCATGTTGAGTACACCAACCAAGCTAACACCTCGAGTTAAGTAACTGTCAAGCCTAGATGCCTGGATCCCATGCCCTGCAAGATTTGGCAGATTTTCCTAGGGAGACGAGTGTGAGTGCAAAGCAGACATGGAACAGGGAAGGGTTTACAATGTTTACAATGTATTAGTATTTTCAGCAACTTGGCAGCTCGCCGCGGCTTCAACAGCGAACTTTGCCGGGCAGGTCCAATTGTCTTAGAGGCTCCGAAGTGTGAAGAGCGTTCATTGCATGACTTTCATCCAAAGGATTTGCTGGAGCAGCTGGATGAGGAGGAGCGCAAGGAGGAGGCGAGCCGCACCAAGCCGCAGCTGGGCTGGCATGCGCGACAGCCAAGATTCAGAGTCGGGAAATCCCGAATTTGTTGCGGTGTTTGTCATGTTTGCAGTTCAGGGTTGAACATTCCGGAAAAGGGGTTCGGCCGGGACACGATACATGCATGGCCTCGCAGATGAAGGAACCGAAGACTCCTTTTCAGTGGATGTGAAGGCCTGTCGACATTTGATTGAATACGGTAGGGTCTCGAAGCGCGCAGAAGTTCCGTGGGCCAGTGTCCAAGCGTTGGGGGTTGTTTGTTTCATCTTCTTCTCTGCCGCTTCTTGTAGGTGTCTCAGGCTCATCGACGAGCTAGACAAGAAGGTAGTGCAGTAACAGACAGGATGTCACCACATGCCTCCCAGGCTCGTACTGCACGATGGGCGAGCTGAAAGCGATGCCGATGTGAGTGGATGCTTGGCTCCGGCTTCCAATGGAATTGAGTTCCTTGCGGCATTCTCCAGACGTCATCATACTACTTTGGGACATCCCCATTCCAAGAGTGCGTCAATAACATCGAATCTTGCCCATGCAGAGTGCAGAGCGTGATCCCTGAACCGTACCGGACCAAGTCAGGATGTGTTCGGCAGCTCCTGAATGCTGCAAGCATCGACGTGGCACAGGCCATTGTCTTCTGCGGGCTTCCGGTGCTGGTGCCTTTGGCAAACCTACGTTTATGCTGCCTGGAGCTATATACTACTCAGATGGGGGCACCACGTTGATTCCGAGAGCCCCTAGCTTGAGATTTGCCTAGGTGCACCCTCTCCTAAGAAGCGTTTTCTTCGACGATTCGCTGGAGGAGGTGGGTCGAACCGAGTGGGCGACATTGGCAGAATTTGTCAACAGCACAGTAAGTAGAGGCGACTTCGTGTGCAGGCCATGCAGCAGGTGGAGGGGAGGATTGGCCAAGTCTCTCCAGCCAAACTTCTGCAGGCGCTCAGATTCCAGCCCGCGGGCTTGTTGCTTGTAGCTTCTCGCTGATCATTGCTCGCCTCCCCAACTGGCAACAGTAAGAAGTTAGAATCCGAAGCACTGGTACGATTATGATGGCGAAGCCGCCAACAACAACAGCAGCAGCAATAGCAACAGCAGCCCCACCAACATCCACCAACAAGACCAATGTCACCCATTGACACCGACTTCCCAGGCCCGGAAGCAAAAAAAAAATCAACAACAGCAACATCATCAGTAACACCAGCAGCAGCAACAGCGGCAATAACAACAACCACTACAACCACAACAGCAACAGCAACAGCAACAACGACCACGACAACAACAACAGCAGCAGAAGCAGCAGCAGCAACAACAGCAACAACAGCGGCTGTAGCGTACCGGGTTTTTATGGTATTTAGGGGATTGTTAAAGGAAAGGGTTTCAATGGAGTGTAGAAGGATTTTAAGGGTTTAAAGTGGGTTTCAATGGTTTTACAAAGGTTCTAGTGGGTTTTGGAGGGGATTTCAATGGGCTTCAGACAAGGTTTTGAGTAATGAGTTTTTAGGCATTTATATGGGTTCTAGAATGGATCAATGAACACCCTTAGAAAACAGTTAAGACCTTTCTAAGACCCATATGCACCCTCTGCATCTTTTGAACCGTTTCGATCCATTCCGAACCCTGCTAAACACCAACAGCCCCGTCGTAAAACTAGGCAGTCAAAGGGAATAACTGCAATGTGTTTGCAGAGTTTTATACCTGGGATGGAAATGTGGTGTAGAGTGAGTGGTTGTTGTAAAGGGGCGGGGGTCAAAACAACAGACGGGCTCCAGTTGTTCTCTCTAGCAGCAGGTGGAGACAAAGCCCTGATTTCAACGCGGCCTTTGTCTCCACCTGCTGTCTTAGAGAGAAATCCGGAGCCCGTCTGTTGTTTTGATCCCCCTGGGCAGCTGCGACGTGGTTTCGGCACCCCATGGGTCGCTGGAAGTATTCTTAATTGCTCTTAATTGTGGCTGCACTACCACCGCCAACAACAACGGCAACAACAACCAGGTGGCGCGTGCGTCTGCCGCCGCGCGGGGTGTGTCCTTCATTTTTGTTGATGTTGTTTGGTCAAAAGCTTGAAAACCCTGAGTTAGTGTGGTTTTCGTCAACAAGACGATGTTTCGTATGTTGTTTCCATAGTTTATTAGTCTTGTTTTTTGGTTACGCTTTTGCGAAATCGTCGCGAATGCAATGTTTTTTCCTCTTTTGTTATGTTTGATGATTTTGGTGGTTCGTTGCGAAGTTTCTGTCTGAAAAGCTTCAAAAACTCGAGGTTTTTGCATGGTTGATGTTTCAAAAGTGAAGCAACAAGAAGCGGCAACAAGGGCTTCACAGAGCATCGGCAGCATTTGACAAGTAACGCAACAAAAGAAACAGAAGACACAAGCCGCATTGGCATGGACGTCATCATCCCCCCCTCCCACCCCCGCACAGAGCTGAAAGGCAAATGCAAGTCTAAGCTGGCATGTGCAAAAGTCGAGAGTCGGCGAAAACACCGTAAAAACCGGTGCGAATGCGACACACACAGGAAAACAACGAAAAAAACGATGCGAAATGTAGAGCTGAGCATGTTTTGTACAGTACAGCCCGCCGGCTGTTGCACTTTTGGCTAGAAACACCACAACAAAACGACGCGAAAACAAAACGCAAGTTCAATTCCGGATGAGCAAAGTGCCAACACTCGAGTTTCAGCACATGCCAGCAAAGAAATCGCACCACCCCGCGTGGCGGGAGACGCACGCGCTGCCAACAACGACAGCTAGGCGTATTTGTAGCAGCAGGAATAGCAGTAGAAGCAGCAGGAGTAGTAGTAGTTGTTGTTGTTGTAGCAGTTGGAGTAGGAGCAGCAGCAGCAGCAGCAGCAGCAGCAGCAGCACTTCTCTTTTGCTTCTCTGCTTCGCATTCTCTTTTTTAGTACCCCTTCCAGACCGTACGATCCAGACCTTGTTTCGTCCGTGCGTGAACTGCTGCACCAAGCCAATGTTGTGCTACCAGCGTAGTCAGGTTCTACCACCCTCAATGACGAACTCGTTTCGTGCCGGCGCAGGAGCTCGAAGACACCGAGCCGAGCATCCTTTCACGTGGCAAGGACACTTTTTGTCCAACGCCTCGGCCGTTTTTGTAGGCATAAATCAGAATGCGCGTGTATCAGAGGATAGCGCTCTCCACCGAGCAGACGAGATCAAAAAGAGTCGGTGCCAGTCCGATGGGCCTTAATGACTCTCAGGGCAGATCCGGTGATCTGTCAGGAGCTCTCTGAAGGAAAGCTGGCTCAGGAGGTCTTGCAATGGGATGGGTGGCGCGGACAGGCGCTGGTGGACACTCGGTTTTTCTGGTTTCTATTGTTCTCCAGATCTAGCTCAACCTTCCATCCGTAATTACTGAGCGATGCTGGGGCAAACTTCCATCACACAGAGAGAGATAGAGAGAGAGAAAGAGACAGAGGTTATCCGTGTTGCTTCCAATAAAGGTCCACGTGAACTCTGTTATCCGGTACTGGTCGTGGTACAAAGTCCTATATTTAGCTGTGATGCAATGTTCTGTGCTCATTTGTGTTGGTTGTCTATGCGTCGGGGGATAACTGCAAGCCATAGGTTTTGCTGGAGGGGATGTATCTGTGGAGGAACTCAGGATAGGCCTTAGAGGGCGCGGTGATGTGCAGACCTCTCCCCAACGAAGGGAAGGAAGGTTATGGTTTAGTGGGGGGCGGTTGTTGGGGAATGGGTTTTACAAGGATACTCGAGGGAACGTGAACTCTCCCACCCGAAAGGGGCCAAACTGACAGACCGCAGCGGACCGGACCGAGGAGGGGTAGGCCTTCGGAGGGTGCGAACGTACCGTCCCCTCCCCCCGAGTAAGCAAGTAAAAGCAAGTAAGAGAGACAGAGTGAGAGAGAGAAACAAGTTTTCCGGTGCGCGAAATCGAGCAGAGGATGAGTGATCGCTAGCTTTCTTGGCCGTGTGGAAGAAGAGAAACACAAAAAAACGAGAACGTGACGACTCCCATCCCCGGAAGGGGCCATACAGACTTTGCAGGCGCGGACTGTGGTGGGGTAGGTAAGGCAAATGCTGCAATGCTTGGCCTTCAGGCTTTGTAATCGCCGGTTGTGAGCTTTTGGGTGGCTGCGAAATCGCTGCTGAGGGCCGGCGGCTGATGCTCCTTCTGGCACTTTACGCGATCAGACAGACAGCTGATGCAGAAATTCCCACGTTGGTAGGGGGAAACATCCGCCACATCCTTGAGATTTTTCAAGAGGCCTGCAAAGGCAGAGTGAGGCCACAGACAACATGGCGGGCGATGATCCCCAGGGTCAACCAAGTTAGGGATGCTTTTGTCCTTGGAGGTGGCGGCACGACTGGAGCTGATCGAAAAGCAAGTGGCCCTCTCGATACTTGGACCCGGCCTGGCATGTCCGTTCCGATCTACTGACACAACTTTGATGTGCCTGGTTCTGTTCTCAGAGACTTGAATTTGGCAGGACTTGGCCAGTCGGCCGACAGCACATCCATCACCAAGGCTTTCAAGAGACGAGCCGTGGAGCTACATCCAGACAAAGGCCCGAGACGTCATCACCGTTGTAACGTTGCCTCATCGAGAGGGTGCGATCGATCCCATTCAGGAGGCGACCTAGAGGAGTTTCAGCTCCTCCAGCAGATGAAAGATGTGCTGCTGGGCGCGAAGATGCCAGCCATGAAGCAAAATGCTAACGGTGTCGGTGGGACTCTCGGCAGCATGAACACTTCCTGCTGTGGCCTGATGCACGTTGCAGCAGTTGAGTTTGCGGGTGCAGGGCGCCAAAAGACGACGTCAAAGAAACGTCTGGCGGCTCCGAAGACACTGACGACGAGATCGACAAGTTGCTTGGGAATCGAGGCTGTGGCGAGTGGGCTGAGTAGACATCCTTTCGTGCTGGAGCGCATGCTCCAAAGATCTCCGAAGCAGCCAACTACCGACGAAGGTGCAGAGGGCGAGCCTGCCCCAAGCCGCGCAAGCCGCCTCTCGACAAAGCCTATGCCGGGATGTAAGAAGGCTTCCGAGAAATCTTGCGCGGGTTTCTGTTGGTCATGAAAGTCGCCATGTTATTGTTCCCAATTCTTTGCTCCAGTTTTGTTTTACAGATAGTCGCAACTTTGGCTTTGTTTCCCACAGGCAGCCGGGGCAAACACTAACTCGGAATAATCTTGCCGCCGTCACCAGGTGGAGCTGTGCTTGCTTCCCCCACGATGTAAACATTCCATGCAGAAGGGCCCATAGTACCGTAAGTGTGGGAACTCATGCTGAAGAGGAAGGCCAGAGTTTTCTACTGTTAATTTTTATCATTCGACCGAGATATACTTGGCACTCGATGCACTTCGCAAAACTTGGATTTTTGAAGGCGTGACTTCGTGGCAGCGAATCTGCGACTGAACCCTTCGCGATCAAAGTTACCCGAGCCAAGCTTTTCCAGCAAGGGTGCGAACGGTGGTCCCCAGCACCCCACCACAGGACGGGGCCGGGGCAAGACCAGAGAGTGCCGAGGCAAAGCCGAGCTTCAGGCGAGCCGCGTGAAGCTGCACCAAGCTGCTGCTGGGCCCGAGGATCTGCTGAGTTAGAGGCTTGAAATGTGTAGGCATAGTTTAATGTTGGTGAAGCCTTTTTGAATCAGATGCAACACCTTGGGAGACATATGACTTCCCCTTCCGACTTCCCAAGCACGGATGCAAAAGTGAGAGATTTCCAATGTGTAGATGTTGGCATGGCGCCGGATTAAGTAGCCCGCAGTGGCATTAGAGCCGATTCGTTTGTGACACCATGACAACACGAGCTCACATGCTGGTTCAGGATTCATGTTGCAGCTCGGCCAGAGTCAGAGTGAGCTTAGAGAACGAGGTCACCCTGGCCTGGTCTCGCTGTGGAAGGCTTTGCTCGCAGCTGTCCAGCTACAAACAGGCGGGACAAGGGCAGGTTTGCTGTGGCTGCACAAGAAGCCTTTGAGCGATGGCGTGGTCAAGGCTTGTCGACTTTGCAGTTGTGTTGATGAGTCAGTACTGACTTGCGACGCTTCGACTCAGAGCAGTCCATCGAGACCCTTATTGATAACTTAACGCATACAATAGCTTCAAAACAAGATTGAAGCCATGCGGTCGTTGTTCAGGCACAAGCAGCCAGGGAGGAGACGTTTTTGGAACCTTTCTCGAATGATGCATTGTTCTTCCCTGCCAATCTCTGACCGAGCCAGGAAGGTCAAGGCCAGCATCGTGAAATTCTGGCATCATTGGAAGAGTTCCTGGTCGGGCTCGAGGAGATTTAGAGTGTGATGTGCAGTACGATTACCTGCGATGAGCCGAAGATGCCCGCGCATTGGTACGCAGAACCCTCTCCACTCCACCTTTCATCTCGAAAGCGCGTGACAAGTTTGAGTTCACCTTAGCGTTTTAAAGCTAAGTCACTAGAACAGCTTTGATAAGATCTAGACCCTGAAGGAGAGTGACGATGATCTTCGGTTCGCACCCGATGGCACGCGCTTGGGCCTGCTGGTGGTGCGAGGTCAGCAGCGGTGATCCAGTAACCAAACCGGTTTTCGTGTTTTGTTTGTAGGCGGGGTAAGCAGCGAGCTGGAAGCATCTAAAGCTCCCTGCAAAATACTGCGACAGGTGCAGAGTGCTTGAGCGCGGCCGCTGTGGTGGATCCTGAGGCGCAGCAAGGGCCTTCGCAAAAGAATTGCATCGGCTCATGCGAGCGGCCTGTCGGGTGTCAAGGGATCTGCGCTGCCTGTAGCAGTTAATGTCGTGCTCTGGTTGCCTGCGACACGAGCCCACCCGTCGCGCAGGCAACTGTTGCCATGCTGATGAACAGCCGCCATATGCTGGAGATCGAGAAGCACGGAAGATGGCCTCTACTGATGCTAGGCTTCACACTCACGAGATGGTTCTGAAAGGCTTTATCGGAACAACATTCGAAAATGCAGTTGCTGCATGAGGACGAAAGCCATGCACCAGCTCCCGTCGCAGGAGCCGGTCCCAGTATTCGCCGAATCGATTCAGCCTCAGTTGCGGAGCCAGGAAAGGCAAAAGCCAGAGACACTGAGGTGGACGCTTTCCTCACTGCAACCCGCCGACTCGGCCTTCCAGGTGCCGCCACGGCGAAGTCTGCAGCACAGGCTGAGTCCGGCAGCTTGGTCAAAGCTTCAGAGGGCCAGACTGGATAGTTGTTGAACATGGTTGAACATGTTAATCACTGCCTGTGTCCCGTCACTGCTCTCAGCTGCTACAGAGGGGTCCATGCTGATAATGGCGACACAGTTCCCTCTGCAGGATCCTCGGTGCTCATGCCCCGAGAATCTGCTTTGCAAGCGGAGGCAGGCCCTTGGTCTTCTGAGAAGTAGTGGAAGGTTTCTGACGCGAGCAGAGAGGCCGAACTCCGCCTAAATTCTCGGTTGCCACGTCGTAGGGGCCCTCTACAGCTGCAGCGGCGGCGGTGGCAAGCCAGGCAGCGCAAACGCCAGCGACCTGCCAACGAGGAGACTTGACATACACGTCCTGCACACGGGTCTAGTTATGGTCATGACATGTCAGGGCAAACATGGACAGCATTGGACTTTTGGTAGAATGCTCATGCTTTCCCAGTCGGCCTACGCATGCTCGGTTCCATCTTGGAATGAGGAGACTCCGACATCTGTGCTTCTGTTGCCCAGGATGTGTTTGCACCAAGTGCCTGCGCCGTCGATGGGGCTTCCAGAAATCAGCGTCGCGCGGCATCAATGAGGGATACAGAGGATGTTAGCAGCAAGGTGGAGGGGGCACTCGGACGCACTTACGAGATCTTCGTGCTGGATGCTGGCCGCCGAGGCCTGCATCCCGTGAACTCAGACTTCACACGATTTTTCACACACGTCACACGCGATGAGCAGGTGGAGCGTGGAGGAGCCGAAGCGATCGGCAGCCGTCCACGGCCAGCTGCGTCGCACATGCACGCCAGGAAGAGCTCTCGCTTACCAGCAGTGGTCTGCGTGCGTGCACAAAGTTGGGGCTGAGCTGCAGCAGCTGCACTCTTCTTAGCTTTGCTGCCTGAAAGATATCCGCATGAACAAAGATTTTGCTTGCAGTGGGAGGGTTCGGGCCCAAATCGAACCCTTGCCTGGCCTTGCCTTACACCGTGCCTCAAACTTCGCAACCCAAATTCGGTGTGCGGTGTTCGAGAAGGGAACATCTTTGATTCATTCAAGGGGTTATTGTCTTCGCATGTTGGACGGTGTGGAATGGACTTCTGCAGACCACACGGCGGCATGGCGACCAACTAACTTCCACAGAGATGCCTGCGGACCCCGCCCCTTTCTGATTAAGAGCCTGAGTGTATGCGAGACAACCAGGTTCCAGTCGCCATATGCCCTTGAGTACTTTGGTGCAGGCCAGTAGTTGAAGCACGCGCTCTGTCAATCTCCCTCGCTTCCATGCACCGCCTGCAATGTCCAGGCGCAGAAGAAGATAACGAGGATGAGGCCAGATCACACAACAACTGTACATGATTTTATCCTTGAAAATTATCTGATTACTGCCTAATTAGTCAGGTTTCGGGTGAAACCCCGAGTGCTTAGGCACACGTCACTGCTTGCCACCAAACGGCTCAGACCTTCCAGCGCAGGACTGCATCGATTACGGCCAGCCCTCGGCTCAGACCATGCACTCCTTTCCTGTGAACTAGGCCTTCTGGGTGATCTTCCGTGGTTTACTTTCGAGCCCCCTGAGCCCAAACCTCCAGCGACGCGCAGGTACACGCTGCCGGAGGATACTATCTTTGAAGAGGAGTTCATCCGACCATCGCAGGCCCCGGAGCTACCACTTCACGAGATCTCACGCTCAGCATGGAAATCGTAGCCGGCCTTCGAAGATCCTCGAAGCAAGCGCCCAGCCAGACAGCGGGGCTGAACTGGCTTCTGCGATGGGAAGGCCCGGCGACGCGCGTACAAGGAGTATGTCGTGGCAAGCTCGGCTCTGTGCCACATGTGCCAGTGTACTGTAGCGTCGCACATGGAAACGGAAGGGGGTTTTGGATGAAGATTGCGACCGAGCACGTTCACTCGGCTGTGCTCAGGTGGACAACTCGGACCTTCAAGCGGATGCTCCAGGCTGCAGCCTTTTTCGGGGTTTTCACGTCATCCAGATCCAATTCTAGGCACATCAGAAGTGCAAACATTCTGCCAGAGCCAAGGGGTGGCTTTCCGATTTAGCCGGCAGCTGAACGACAGCCCTGGCCTCGGAACATGGATTGTTTTCATGGATGCGGTGTTCTGCGATGACTACGTACATGGCAGCGTTGCGTATGGGTGACTGTCCGTCCGTATGTGTTACAGCGTGGGAGACCCGAGACAGACTGTGGAAAGCCGATTGTGGATGAGACGAGTTTAGAGGAAATCTAGCTGGCAGCAGCGTATAACTTTCTTGAACCTATCAGCACTTGCGAAAGTAAGAGAGCGATACTGCCAAGAAAAGCCCTGGACTTTGGGATTCTTGCTTGGCTTCCTCGCAGGAGATGACGTGCGGCCTGTGGCACAGTGGGGGTGCATCGTCACGGGGGAGGACAGCACAACGATGGTATGTACGTGTGCAGTGTAGACCTCCAGCATCCGATGAGAGAGCCCAAACGGTCAGATTCTGATAAAGAGCACTGCCTGTAACAGTGCACGTTGCCATTGCAGCATATGAATATCAATTCTTGCTCTTTCTTGCGTTAGACTGGCCACGCAGTGATCCTTTTGAAGAAGGAGACGGAGAAGCTGTGCAAAGCAATCGAATCAGGTTACGAGATAATGTAGTGTACGGTATGACAGCCAGCGCGACCTTGCGGGAGCAGAGAAGGTGGTGAGGGTGCATCACTGCCACGGTGTTGAGGAGGGGAGGCATGCGAGCAATGACCCCGAACCCGAAGGCCAACAAACATCACACCGAGGAATGCTCAAGCAAGTCTACTGCCCACTCCCCTTGGATAATTCTGCAAACTGCTCCGATGGATTGAATACATGTCGAGGCCGGCTCCCTCAGTCAAAAGACGAAGCCATCGTGGGACTGTTTTGCTGCCCAGACATCAGGACACCGGAGATGGATGGGTACAGGCCACGTGCCGTGGTGCTCCTGTTTCAAATTGGGCTGGTCGTGAGTCTCGGATTCACGACCTGTCTTTCGTGGTGCATTGACAACGATCCCATCTTTCTCTCGGGTCACTTGGCAGATCGGAGACCGGTTCCTGCCCAAGGAGGTGGGTGGGAAGAAGGCGGGCCCAGCAAACAGCCAGAAAGCGTCCGCCAAAGCATGCGACATAGGGCAGGCATTGGTTTTGATCTGACTTGGTTCAAGACGGCTTTGTGTTTGTAGACTTCAAGATTGTGTTCGCCGCAATCTTGGCGAATCTGCTACACCGAATAGGTCTTGACTTCGGTATGACGCTGAACGACATGACCATATCCCTAAGGGCAAAGATCAAGCAAGCGAATGCAGAAACTGTAGCCGCTGTAGCCCTTGCCAGTGGTGGTGCAGCAGGTTTTGCTCGAGCGAGCGCAGTCGAAGTTTCGAGCAGAAGATCGCTTGGAGCTCAACGTGCTCAAGCGGATTCTTATCGGGGAGCACAACTGCTTTGCTGAGGTCTAGATGATTTAGACGACCTAGATGAGGCGGGACGTCTCAACATTCAACAGGCATGATGGCGGACTTGGGGCCGAAACGACATTGCCGTAGCATCGAAGCTGTACGTTGAGCAGGACGAAGCTGCAGAAGAGTCGGCCGAGCCTTGGAAGGGCACAGATGACGGAGGCAGGATTTGGGATTCTGGCTCGGAAAATGGGCTTGGAAGACTTGTCAAGGTAGCGGATTTGCAAGTCTGAAGGGAGGACCCTCCTTTCTTGAACAGGGAAGCGGCGCGAGACTCCCGAGCAGCTGCTTGGTTAAGTTCAGCCGGATGGTTTCGGGTCGCCCAACTTCTTCGAGTTGCTGTAGGCGGTTAGTGGGATATTTGCTCTTAAGTTGCTGTTTCGAGTGCCTTTCCTCCCCATCCCTCAAACGGGATCAAAGCACCGGGAAGCCAAGGCGGCGGCAGCGCCTGCGACAAGCGGAGCAGCTGAGAGCCCAAGACAAGGCTTGACGTGACAGAAAGCGAAGGTTCTGGCTTGGCTTCAATGTTGCGACACTCGGGGCTGAGGGATGCGGTTGCGATCTCGATCGACAGCCTTGAGTTGCTGTCCGTTAGGCCCAACTGAGGCAGTGTAGTCGGCCTAAACTGCAGGAGCACGAGGAGCACGAGCAGCGAAGCCGTGAACTTCTCCGAAAACACAAGATGCTGCTGCATGAGTCAGGCTCTAAGAGTGGTTACGGCTAGCTGCTTCGGGTGTGTCGGATTATGTTTTGGCCAAGGCCAGACATGACGCACTACACAGCTCGGCACTCAGCACTTCAGGAACTTCATTCTCCCGAAACAAGGCAACTCCGGCGAGAGTAGTCCCACTGACTCCAGAACGTAGAGTTACTAGTTGCTGAGTCTTTGCAACCTCTTAAATTTCAGCAAGCCAAGAAGCAGGTCCTTGGCCTGGCAAGGAACGCCACACCCGAAGACATCGAGCGGGCGTACAGAGCGGCAGACTCAATTCTTGGAATGTATATAGCTTCAAGCATATAGTTTCAAGCCTTGTGAGCGGAGGAGCTTTGTTGGCAGGGAGGCGTTTGAGGAAGGCAGCGGGCTTGTGCCAGCAAGGGTAGAACCTCCCATGACTCAGGCCACTTCATGCCGGCTTCTGGTAGAAAGGCAAGCAGACTACTGCAGAGCACCAAATCCTTCTTTGAACACCTGCCAAGTTTATCACGATGACCACCACCGTTTTACGAGACAGAGATGCTGCAAAACAGGCAAGTTGATTGCTCCTGCACAAGTGGTACATCAACCCTGAAGCTCGGACTACGAATGGAGAGGAAACTTTGAATTATTCAACCAAGGCGCTTTCCAGCCGGTACCATCCAGACAAGGCTCCCCGCGTGTCAAGTGCGTCGTGGCTTGGTTCAGGGCGGCCCATGAGCCCTCACTCGACACGAATTTGCAGAAAACAGGAGCACTAGAGCCGCTGAAAATAAGCTTATATGTGATAGACAGAGAGCCAACAGCTTCTGGACTCGGCACAGGCCGTGCAGGCTGATCGAGCCATGCGTGCTTCGATGGAGCGGTCCATGGCAGCCTGGACTTTGCTTGGAGTTCGGGTTGGCTCTGGACTTTGCTTCCGGAAGTCTTAGCTTTGCAGATGGGCTCTCAGGGCTTGCTGGTCCAGTGGCGTAGCTCACTCCCGTATACCAACACTACTAGCACGAACTCACTATTTCTACCTACCTCTTACATCAACTTTGAGCTTGCGAATGCTCCACCGACGCGTTGCAGGTGTTGTTTCTTGCCGGTCGCAAAACCACCTCTCAATCGCTCCGGGTCAACTCCCAACAAGGGCCCAGAAGCCGAAGCCGCCGCCCAGGTACAACTCAACGAAGCTTTCGCCGTGCTTTCGAATCCGAAGCATCGCCGGGGCCCGAAGTGCAGAGCCCTAAGCCAAGCAAGAGGGCGTTCTCTCAACCGCGTCGCATTCAATCAACATGTTCTCCGCGATGCCCCCCAGCTTTGGCCCACCCCCGAAAAGTTACAGGCGAAGCCATCTGAAGCAGCTTCAGGATGGAACTACGACCGAACACTGCCGCCTGTGGAGGAGAAGGTGCAGATTCTCAGGGTTGAAAGCTCACATCGTTTGTTGGGGTCGAAGCTCAGTCGGATCACAGGCTGGTCTGTTAAGCCCCTTCAAGCGATTCACAGTGATCATCACTTTTTTATCGTTCCCGGACTGGCATCCGATGCCGTCCCCGTTGGGCACACAGCCCGTGTGCACCATGCATGTCGCCTGTCGCATAGTGGCACTCCAAGACTTGTTCGGTGCGCGACCCAGCAGGTGGAGATCACGGATCACCTCCGATTTGCTACAGTCTCAGTGCCGACTTGAAGAAGTTTGCTTCGCACAGTGGTTCCCAGTTCTCCAGTAGTTTCTTGGCTTCTCAGCAAGTATCTTACGGGCTCGAGCTTCTCCAGTTGGTTTCCGTGCATCCAGGCGGGAGCTCAGCCGGGTCGAGACATCCCAGTCATGGCCTCGGCTTCTATGCTCGCAGAGTCAGAGTTTCCTCGATGGGGTGGTTGTTTTTCCATGCCAGTCGCGATCGATTCACAGTCTCAAGCTAAAGTGTGGTGGTACACGGCACTCGCAACTTCGACCTTTGGCCCCTTTGCATATCGGAGACACTACGACAAGCATGAGAATGCACACCCGTCCATGCCCGTACCATCCCGTACCTGTTTGGTTTTCCGAGAGGACGGTACTGATGCTGACTTTGACTTCTCCGGTGAGGGCAGGCGGGCACAGGGCGAGACAAGCCAGCTGCAGGTCTTGGGACAAAAGGATCTAGCAATCAATACCTGGAGGGCAAGCATAGCCGTAAGGCCCTGCTTGGTTCCACAACATCTGGAGACCAGCAGCAACAGAAAGGAATTCAGGTGATCAAGTCTGAGACTTCATCATCTCCACTGCAATAATGATCCAAGGTCTCTGACACTGGCACCTGAGACGTATTTGCAGCTTTCCGAAAGCAACTGCTGAACCGCCTGCTCCTGAAATGCTCCAAGCAGATGAAAGGCGCTGTTTCATGTTCTGGAAGTTTCTGAACATTAGGGGTACCTATTTTGAGGTCCTTATAATAAGGCTAATAAGGATCCCACAATGGAGGGTACTACATTAGGGTACGCTATTGTCGGAAACTCCCTTCTTTCTCTCCGAACACCGTCGGTCTTTATTTCACATCTCACCTGCACAGGCCCTTCCGCTTTTGCCGCGGAAAGGCAGCCCGCGTGGCCAAGATCTGTGGAAGTCGGGACAAGGTGAGCATGGCCACGTTAGATGGTTTGTGGTACTTTGTAGAATCAAGGAGTAGTTCAGTTGTGGCTGCCGACTACATGCAGACCGCTGACTTAAGCACAGGGTCGAAATTGGATGTCGGAAACCAAGCATGCAACACGAGCAATGAGTGTCCTGAGTGCGCTGAGCATTTAGCGATGTTCTGCAGTCGGCTTGAAGCTAAGTTGATGCCAGGTGCGAATCGCAATGCACCAGCTCGCCGGGCAACCTGTTGCTTCCTGCAATGACTGCTCGCCTCCTGTGCAGCATGCGGAACATCCAGCTTTCGTGGCAAACTGCTCTGAGGTTGGCAAGGTCCCCATGGAGCTTGCCGACTGTGGAGGGGCCGGCAGCTACCGCTGACCTCGGCGGCTCTCTCGCTTGGCGCTGTTCGGCAGGTCATCCGGCACGTCGGGCCGATGACGCCGTTCGGTGGATTGGGCGAGCCTGGGGCACAGGGGTGCACTGCTGATCTTCGGGTATAGCTCGTGGTGCTTTCCTGCTCGGCATGGTGCGGAAATATGCAGATTGGAAAGCCGGGTGCTGGAAGGATTGAGTAGAGAGTCTGTTCTAAAGTGGACATGCCAGAGAACAACACAACCAGTCACGGGCAAAGTTGGTGTCTGGCCCTGGCACGTTGAAAGATTTGGTCGCCGGTTCGTGCCATCGCAATCCCAGCCCTGTTGGCCGGTACGTTTAGTCCGAAGCTGGCCATTCGGCTGCTTAACTTGAGCGCTACCGTCACCCGTGGCGATAGCGGAGGGTCACCATCACTCGTTCGTGAGGTGTGGCCATTCGAGCTGCATGGCCCATCGCCTCCGATATCCGGAGGCACAACCGTCGCATGGTGCCTGACGACTTACAACATCTTGCAACTTTGCATGTGCATGTGTTATGTTGGACGGAGCACAGACAGCTCTCATTCGCCAGGTTCGTACCGGCTTCCGAGACTTCGTTGCCAGAGCCCAGGGAGAACCTGATCCGATACTTTTGACATGTAGCGGGAAAGCTGGCTGAAATCGCAAGCTCGCTCTGTCAGAGAGGCCTGATTCACATATTTCCACTTCTGCAGGGCACCACCGCCGCCCTCAACTCCCAACTAACAGAACATCTATCGAGAAGCTAAGGCTAAGCTAAGGCTACAGTAATCTCAATTGCTCAGTTGCCTTCGAAAGACGTTCGGAGGTCACGAGCGTACGGGACGCGGCGCGAGCCTCGGTCGGAGGTTCGCTCCTTAGACGGATGTTCACATGCAAAAAGTGGCGATGAGGTCCGTACGAAGACGGAGTGGTGGGGACCAGAAGGCCGGCAGTCGTCAGGAGCTTCTAATCTTTAGAATCCTGCAATTGGTCACTGTCGCATCTGCAGGCCTGCGCTACGCATCCCTGGGTTGCGGCGAACTCCTTTTTGATCTGGACCACCCTTGCATTTTAAGCTTGCCAGGATGTGATCCCAAAGTATCTTTAAACAGCTTTCGCCAACGCACGCTTGGGCTCCAGGAGCTGTTGGAAAGGCTCCGGGAGGAGGTGCTCGGCGTGTTCGGGTCTGGTGCGACTGCTGTGCTCGCTCAAGCAGTAGCGATTCTGGCCGCAGATGCAGCAAGCACCCTTTGTAAACCCCGCATAACGGTTCAGATAGCGTCTTCGGACCTGGGGAGGGGTGTTGGTTGCGGTTGCTAGCGTGTGGATGGGCCCGGCTTTATATAGCCACTGCCGGAGAATCGAGGCAGGCGTGCAGATCGCGCAGATCTGCCTGATTGCCGGATTCCCAGCTTCAGCATGCTTCAGCTATGTTGAACACGGCCTCTTACTCACATGTGTGTTGATGACTTGCTGATGAGGCTATGCGCGCACCGCTTGCGTAAGTGCGTGCGTGGGTGGGTGGGTGGGCGGGTGGAAAGGGAGTACCACTGTGTATGTGTGTGTGTGTGTGCCACACCCTGTTTACCAAAACATAGGAGACGCATCAGTGATGCTCCATTTTCATGCAGTGGGGCAGTGGGCAGCAGGGAGTCGGTTCTGGGCTGTGGATACTCTGTGGAGCAGATCGTGACGCCAATTTGCGCACCTACAGTTTTACTCGAGTGTGCAGCTGGAAGCTGATAGGCAAGTAACCAACCTCATGCTTATCCTGAGACAGGGAGTGTCCAAGAGTGTCTTTTCGTGCCAATATGGGCCACTTACTCTGCTTTAACCATGCAGCGATCGGAAGCGATCAGCACAGGATATTGGTTATCGGCAGCCCAGCGCCTGCCTGAGACGTTCAGTCGACTTGCTTCGCGTGTATTGGCAACGATTCAGACATATTCAGACTGTATCGATGGAGATCAATGCCAGAAAACAAAACCGCATGAGAGAAGCCTCAGATGCGCAAGGCTTGCCAACGCGGCGGGCCCTGCGAGAGTTCGCAGACTGGCAGCGCGCCAGTGTCCAACTTGCCTGATTTGGCTGCCGGCAGGGTCACAGTGCTATGAGCTGACCGTACGAAGGGAGCCAAGCCTTGATCATAGCACAGCCACGCTTAGCTGCCTTCGTGTCGAGAGAACGGAACAGCCTTCAGAGACTTAAAAAAAACACAGGCGCAGATGAGGCGGGCACAGCCCTGTGAGATCTTAGTCTTCGGGCACCTGGCCGACTATTCCGAGGCAGGGACACTTCTGTTGCGGCCTTGTGACCTTGCTTACAGCGTGCTGCAGGCATCGGCAAAAGGAGGACGTGGCATCCTGAGCCATTGCATCAGTCCACGCACACACAAACACACACGAAGAGTTTGGGTCCTCGGCTCGATCATAGGCAGGAACCATCACGTCGTTTGTAATGTTGCTCCTCCAGCTAGCTACAGCTAAGGTGCTTCCAACTGCCATGTCTTCGTCCAGTGCGACACGTCCACCGGCTCGGCTGGCAGTACGGGTAACGACATGTGTCAATTAGGTATCATCAACCTCGTTTGTGGATTGAGCGCCCCGGCACAGTCTCCCGCATGTTGATTACTTCAACCGGCCGAGGCATTGGAATGGTTGCTCTGGCGACTGCAGTCGCCTGGCGAGCCTTGGCGCCCAGACAAGTTCGGCACGGAGGGTGAGTGCAGCTCAACTGCCGATGCTTTCGGCAATCGGAAGGCGACATGTAGAAAGGACTTTGTCAAAGACATTGCCGCATGCAGCTGATTGCTGGTGGCTGCTGAGGTCGTGCGCTATGCAAGGATGGCCTGTTGGCACGCCTAGCAGAGGGTCCAGGCACAGAAGACCAGCCAACAGCTGATGAGAAGCAGTGCCCTCACTTTACGCGGCCTTCCTGGCAGATGCCTTGCATGCGGAGCTTCCGAAAGGCGTGCTGGTGCCACGGACTTGGGAGCAGAGAGAACCAGGGCGTGCATTCCTCCCCAAATTTCCTGCCTGGCTCCTCTTAGGAGCCCCTTCCAGGGTGATCTGGAAGCACCACAGGCAGCGCATCCCACGGCATGGGATGGGCGGCGCGCTCCATGCTGCTACATAGTCACATAGTCTTGTCGTTGGTGCAGTAGCTCAGAGCTCTCCAATCCTGGCTTTCAAGGTTCAAAATTTAGATATACATGCCACGGTTCGCGAGCAGTGAGGATTAGCCACACAAAATTCGCGATGGCAGAATCTTGATGGTGACATCGAGCTTTCTTTGGGAAGCTGGCCTTATCCGACATGCACAGGAACTGGAGACCTTGGGAGGTTTGGAGGGTGGCCTCGACAGCGTGGACCCAAGCCGGTCACCATGTGCAGCTGTTACATGCTGTTACTGTCAGAATAGTCGGTGGTGTTTATCGGTGTGTCACAAGCTCGCTGTGTCTCAGCCAAAGCAGCACACCGTGCAGAGAACGCTCCTGAGTACTTCAAACTGACTGACGGATTCAATCAACGGATGCAAGATTGGGGTGGAAGGAAGGCAGCAGGACCGGCCCACTCTGCGTGACCTGCGACACCCTATGACCTATAGGATTGTAAAAGCCATAGTGTTCCGGCTTGCCCCTATTCAGCAAGCCCTCCGGCCGATGAATGGGCTTACAGCATATTAGGCCTATGAGATTACAGTAGGATGATGTTGGTTGTGTCGGGCTTTGGCCACCCAGGTGACCAGTCTCGCGTCATAAGCATCGCCTGCGCGGGTGGCTTGCACGTGGCTCTCTTCTTAAGCCGAGGGTGCAAGTTGCAAGAGGGCTGACGGTCGATGTTAAGCTGTGCTTGCAGAAGTCTGCCTTGCCCGGGGCAGATACGGCCAAAAACGACGAATCCTTGTTTCAGGTGGAACGACTGCATGCTTTTCACGTCGATCTTGCGTGGAAGACCTTCGCCGTAAGAAGTTCGGACGGCGAACATTTTGATGAATTGGTGCCCCGACTGAGGGCGAGCCCTTCTTCTCGGCCGCGGCGGCCCTAGTGACACTGCCGATCCAGTGACAATAGCGCACGTCGAGCACCGACGCCTGTTCACAAGCGCCAGCTTTTGAGACCAATGCAGCACTTTGCATGGACATGTCGTTCCGCAGCATGGGGTTGATTTGGACCGGAAGGCGTGGACGCTTGTAGAGTGGCCGCCGGAGTTCTTCAAGACTCCTTCATTGCAGCCTAAAGAGCACCCCCTGTCGGAGACTCAGAGCTTTGCCCAATTATTCTGTCCGCTCTAGACAGAGGCCAGCCTGGAACTCTCCTGAGTTCTAGTGAGGCTCAGCCGGCGAGAAGACCTCTCTCGCGCAAGGCAAATTGCCAAGGACGCTTCCTGTTTTTCTCGAGCTCTACCTTTCTCGACTCGACCAGCGAATGTGACACGGAGTCAAGTGTCTCCCGTATGCGCTTTTGACCCTGAGCTTCTATACCTGGGAAGCACATTGATCTTTGTACATGTTTAAATCCGAAGGAGCATGGCCTCTCCGTGTGGCGTGTCGTCTACAAGCCGAGGATTGCGGCCTTACCCTCGGAGCTCGGTTATTTGGGTGCTGGTGATCCCGGAAGAATTCGGGGTTGGCTTGCAGGAGCGATGGGGCCCGATGGGGAACTGGGTTGGAGTTAGGGTGTACATGAGGAGAACAAAATCATCTCGAAGCTTCCCAGGTGCGTGCTGCACCCGACCCGCAGGCACATGCATGCTAGATCTGGGTTGCTGCACGCAAAAGGCATGAGACCATGAGGAACTGTAGAGAAAAGATTTTCGCCTGGCCATGCTTTGCCGACTTTGAGGCTTCGTATCCATTTCGTGACAGCCAGGCTCCTATTGTGGACCTCTTCTACGCAGGAGACGAACTGCTCGCCGCCCACGGCCCAGCTCTTTGGCACCTGCTGTTGCGTCGTGTTTTGTGCATACGCGCATACGTAGACTTGTATGTATAGGTTGTTTGGGACTGGGGACGCAGGTGCCGGGCGACACGCAAGGCCCATGGCTTCGGCTTGCGAAGGTGGGGCAGATCTCAGCCGGAAACCTTGTGCTGGAAGATCTCCTGGATGGAGTGCATGAGAATTTCGATTTAGAATTGGGGATTTGACTGGGGCGTGCCAATGACAGCCTTTGGTTGCAGCCGATCGCTGGACTGATGCAGAATCATACCGATGAAGGTCGTGAACAATCACGAACAGTCGGACCTGTTTGCAAGCTGAATTCTACCAACAGCACTCAAATCGCCCACAGGCCAGTTGGCCCAACCCGACGGATGCACCGGAGGAGGTGAGAAGCTGTTGCCCACAATACCGCTTTCTGTTTTTGGTTCGGTAAGCGGTATAGACGAAGGAGAATGTGAGTGAGCGAGGCCGCTTTGGACGTGTTTGTCTTTGGACACAAGAGCGAGTGAGTGAGGCAAAACGAAATGCCCCCAGGTAGTTTTTTTGTTGCTTCGCATGCACGCCCCCAGCCGTCGGCTGAAGTTTTCTTCAGGAAACGTAAGAGATGCCTTCAAGCGCATTCAGCATTCAGGGCCTCGGTCCTCGATCGAAGCTTCGATTTGTCAGAAAACGAAGGAGATGATTTCAAGTTAGGCTCCCGCGTTTTTGGCAGAGAAGAAACAACGCATCCAGCGATATCCAGGGCATTTTGGTTTTACCTGGAGATGTTGCGCTTCTGGCACGACACCGTGCAGAGAGCAACCAAAACATGCACAACTGGAATGCGCCCTGAACCAAAAAATGATGAGCAAAAAACACATGGAACAAAAATTTACTCTTACGCTGCCCTCACCCTGCCGACTTCAATCATTAAAACATGTGTGCTCCTGGTTTCTGGAATCCTCATCCGCCTGCAGAGGAGGCAGCTGACACGTACTACCGTTGCATGGAGACTTGTAATCTAAGCTGGTTTCACTTAGCATGGGTGTCTGCTCGGCGGGCTCTGCGATTGCAGACTTTCCAGAAGGATGCCTGGGTACTCCACGATGGGGCGGCAGCCGGGCTTGGCTTGCTCGTGGAGCAGGCAGGGAAGGTGAAAAGTCGCCAGACTCCACCACGAAGGAAGAGCCGGCTCATCAGCGTAGCATACAGCGGACTACGTAGGCTTCAGATGCCAGGCGTAGTCAAGTTGGGGTAGCCTTTCTCTTGCGCGAGCGAGCTTGACATGGAAGGTATATGCTCCACGTTGAGGATCACCTTGGAGCTCCATGCGCTGTCCTGAAAAGCAGGGACAACGCATGGATGCAAAAGAGTCTCTCATTCAGCAGCCCACCCAGATTCAAATCTGGAGCCAAGACGGATCCAAAGACATCATAGACTGTCTGGCACGCACAGCACGTGCTGGCCAGCGGAAAGGACTGGACAAAAGGCTCCAACAATTTGCTGTCAGCGGAACTGGCTTACGGGAGGGAGGCATAGCTTGGGTATGCTACGGTGTGAGCTCCTGCTTGCGTGTCCACACCTTTGCGCCCAGCCACGTTACTATGTCAGGGGCAGGTGAGCACTGCTGCCCTCTGCCGTTCTGGATCAGACATCGATGGGGCCCACCTGTGCCAGCGAGTCAGGTGCTCAGGTGGTGACACCACGGTTGGAACAGCGAGCTGCATGTAGTTTCGAATTTTCATGGGTGTTGGAATTCGGAAGTTTCGGCATTGAATGGCTGCCTGGTTCTTTTGTCTTCCAGTCGTGTTCATATCTGCTTCAGTGTAGCGCTAGAGACGCCTCTGATGAGCATGCTCTCGCATCGTCAGAAGAAGACTTCCAAATGGGCGCATTTATGAGCAACCTGATGGAGCTCAAGGTACTGTGCTTCTACTGCGAAAGCTCTTTTCTCGTCGGTATGTCAATGCAAGATTTGGCAAGGCTACGGACCGAAACTGAGGTTTGAATAGCAGAGCTTTGATTCGATGGCCTCTGTGCTGCGATAAAGTTCTCGCAGTGGTGCTGCGTGAGGGAGATAAGTCCGGCACCACCAAAGAGAGCAAACGGGGCGAGACCTGGAAGAGCTCTAGAGATGCAGTAGGTTTGAGGGCTGCCGAGAAGGCTCGCAGGTAGAAGCTTGCACAGACCAGCCTTGCAAAAGGTTTCTGCTGGTGCTGTGGAGTTTGATGTCGGGCCCTCATCTTTGCAAGTGGCGCCAGATATTGAAAGCACTGTGCCACTGTGCTGCTTACAGCTTGAAAGACCACGTTGTGTTCGCTTTGCGCGTGAAGTCCTGCTGCCCAGGGTATATGGAGGAGGAGGAGGCAGGGTTTCCGGCCTCGAGCGTGTGACGCAACTTCTGATGCACTCGAAAGCCGCACCTGGTGGCTGCTGAGGGATTCATTTGGCTCTGCGATGTTGTATACCGTTCCTCCGCTGTTTCATTCTATCCCGCTTTCACCGTGGCTGCGCTAGCTGCTGCAGTTGTGCGCGTCCTCTCTCTCGCTCTCTCGAATATATGATGTATATAGCAGTCTCAATCTTAATCCCTGCACTCCCAAAGGAGACTTGAAGCTGTGACACAGGCAAACTATGAGGATGATGAGCCAGAGCCGCCTCCTCACTCTGCCGTTGGATTCCTGAACTGAACGGCCTCGGATAGGAACTGACTTCGGAACCCCTTTGCAGTCGCAGCTTTTCTGGTTTCTGAACGTCTTGATGCTCTCAGACCTGAAAATGGCGACAACGAAGATGAGAAGCCGCAGGCAATCGGGTTCGGGATGTTGGAAGGTTGCACCATGTCTCTGTAATGTTGTCGGATCTGTGCCGGTAACGCTGGAAACTTGGGGTGGGAGAGCGAGGTTTCTGCCGAAAGCCCATCTGAACCACACGTGGCAAAGCCAGTCACTCACGTTTTGTAGCCAAGATCTGTCCTATCACTCCAGGCCGACGTAGCATTTCGCGTTTCATGTCTTGCTATGTTCGGGTCGGCAGTCTTCTGAGTGCACTTGTTGCCTTGCCACTCATGAGCCAAAGCGCCGAGCCCGAGCCCGTTGACAATGTTAGTCCGCACATGGTCCGGGACATCCGGGGATGTGAAGCCTCCAGTGTTTCTTCTCAGCCGTGAATGCGGAAGGCGTAAGGGTGAGCTTGGATCCGAAACTCCCCCGAACTCACCGAAACTCACAGGCCCAGCCAAAGGCGGCTGGCGCTGCCAAGAAGCGGCGACGTGGAAAGGGCAAAGCAAAGGCCCAGAGCCCCAAAGAGCAGGCCGTCCGCGACTAAAAGATGTGGATACGTTTCTCCAAACTGACACTAGGTGAGGGATGGTTCAACGATCTTTCCAGATGTTCTACTGCCTCTACCCCAAGCTGTTAAGTTCATCTGTAAGTAGTTGCCGACGGCTCATGTGCAGTCGCTCCGAGTGGATTAATTGGATGTTCTACGTTGACAGCTTGGGAAGAGCCAGGAAGAGCGCAAGGTGGTTGCGGACACCATTGCCTGTGGCTCAGATTGAGGAAGACACCGTGGCAGCACCAGCATCGGGCATTGGGCATGGAGGAGCGAAAAACAGGAAAGGTACATGCAGTTCATCGTGTTGGGCCTGGTGGCCAGCGGGCGCGCATTTCGGATGAAAAATCGCTCGGCCCCAACACAGTCGGACGCAATCGCTACTATTCTGCACCCGTGGACGGCATCACTTCGGACAGAGCCCCTGTCTCTCGCTTTGCTCACCCTGCTTTCAGAAAGGGGACGGCAACGTAAGAAGCAAGGCAATTGCATCAGAATGGCCTTTCCTGTCACAATTCTGAATCTCAAACTGGCCACATGCATCATCACAAGCTGCAACCAAAGGCAGCCTTCAGTCTGTAGGTAAACACTAAAAGCCACATGTGCATCCAGGGGCGCTCCATCCTGACAGCGAAGATGAAAAAGACAAAGATGTGCGAGTTCCACAAGGAGGGAAGGTCCGGCCACCACATTTGCAGCGTTTGCATGATATGATTCTTTCGGGTTCTGATCTTGAAGACCTCACCTCTCCGCTTTTGCCGCAGGTGCAAATACGGTGCAGACTGCGCCTTTGCACATACAGAGCCGCCGCCCGAGACCGGCGCATTGAGGGTAGGCTTGCATGGGCTTGAGGCTCTGTGCCTCGAAATCCGCAAAGCCAAAGGCTCGCTGCCTTCATATTCACTGTTGTGAGCAGCAACGTGAGGTCGGAGTTGCAGCAGGCCCCAGACTTGCGAAAAACACGACTTTGCCGCAGACTCGGCTGTCACTCTTGCCGGCAGTGCTCTGGAAGACAGCCAGTGAACTATTCGATCATGGGATTCTACGGACCAGGAGCCCATCCGATGTGACCAGGGTTCTCTCAATCTGGCAGGTAGAAGATGAAGAGTTGTAAGACGCGTTGTGGAATCTCACGCGTGAGTTCTGAGAGGCCGAGCATTTTTGCAGGGGACGCCGCCTCAGAGCCTCGCAGAAGAGCGCAGCGCATGGCAGCATCCTATTCTTTTCCAGCGAAAGCTGGCGACCTCCTAGGAAGTGCGACGATTCCGACTGCAAGTTCGCACATGGCGAGGAGGAGCTGAGAGCCTGGCGCCCGGGTGGAAAGCGACGAGTGAAAATCATGAGTGCCAGCTACGCAGCACTGGTTCACAGATGGTGCAGGTTGCGCAAGGCAGACTTTCACTATCATGCCCATGTTACCGAGTTTCTTCAACTGTGTCTGATTGTCCAGTGATTGTCGATTGTCCGGAAATAGCATAGTATTCTCAGTTCGCATCTCGCCGGAAGCCTGGGATGGGACAGCTTTGTCACTGAAGGCGTCCAACATCTGTTTCAAGACCGTGGGGGCGCCCAGATGTGCCGTGCAAAAGGAGATCTCCGCTTGCAAAGTCCTTCATGCAGAGACGTAAAACGCACAGATGCGGATACAGACTAACATCACAGTAGCTCGAGTCCAAAAGAATACAAGCTCTAGGCTAAGACAGCTAAACAGTGAATTGAGAGTTATGCATCTTGTGCCAAGTGTCTCTCCTACATGTTGTTCTCTTTCTCTCTCCGCCCCTCTCTGTCTCTCTCTCTCTCTCTCTCTCTCTCTCTCTCTCGCTTTGTGCTTAGACCTTGCGCCTGGCTGATGCCGCACGATGGTCCCTGTCATCGAGCTATACTGCGTCGTTATACGACCCTATTTCTGCTGGCTTTCTTGTACCCGAGTCCCCTTCCAAAGTTTCTGTCAGCCATACCTCAGTTTCAGAAGCTATCGATCTTTCTGCATTTGTGGCTCGACCGATGCCGCAGAGAAGCTATTAATTCCGGTGCCCAGGCGCTGTGCACTTGGTTCGAGAAGGGCAACTGCCAAAGCGGCGCGCAATGCCAGCACCTGAGAGAAGTCGAAACTGGTCGCTTGCTTTTCTCCAAGACCTCCGTCAGTTCTTTCTGCCGTGCGATGGCTGGATGGTGATTATTCCAGGCACTAGGCTGCGAAGACTTGTCCTTGCAGCACCAAGGCCGCTTTGCGCATGGGGCACATGGCCTCAGATATCATTTCTTCGACTGTGAGAAATGCGATTTGCGCTCTGGTCTGCGATGCACCGGGTTCATTAATGTGCATGCCCGCAATTGCCCGCAAGGCAAGGGCATTGCAAACGACTCATACTGCTGAAGGTCGAGGAGCTTCGGGACGATCCGGATGCGAAGGTCCACTGAAACTGGTCGTCCACCTGTTCTGAGTGTTATCTGCGTAAGAACCGTAGCCACTCGCCCGTGGCCATTCATTCGTCGACGACGACCTTGGAGACGCCGAGTACCTACCTCTTGTTTGAATGTGAGTTGTGCCTGAGCATCCGTTCGAGTTCCTACAGGCCGCCGTCGAGCCAGCGCCTCAGAGCTAAGAGCTTCCGATCTGCAGCCTTTGAAATCGCATCGGGTTGGAACAGTCTTGCGATGTCTTGCTGAAAAGTGGCAGAGGATCAACAGAATCCACCGGAACAACACAGGCTCTCGCATCTCGTCCTTCCCGCGAATCGCTCGTCCTGCAAAGCACTGCGCTGACAAGAGAAGCAGGGATCAGTTCAAGCTTGATGGCCCAATCAGGCAAGCACGGAAACGTCTTGCTGCCACGAGCTCAGCTGATTGGACTCTTCAAGCCCACCAAGCATCAGTGTCAAAAGCATAATGTCGGACCCCGTAAGCGCCTTAACTCATGACCACTGCAATCGTATGAGCCCGCGTCAAGTTGCAGAAGAGACTTTCCATGCTGTCCGACATGCTTGGCTCGAGCCATGAAAGGGTAGGAGGGCGCGAGGCAGCCTAGGGGAGTCCTTCTGGGCCGAAGCGGGTGGAGCTCACTGCATTCAGCTACGTTGTCGGTGTCGCAAGGGGTCCGATGTTTCGGGGCGGGAAGTTTCTGAACACTTCGGGCAAGGGTGATTGTGGGCGGTCTGTTCATGGTTTGAAGGGGAGCGCTGGAAGAACGTTGGGTTTGAGCTTAGAGACATCTGAACATTATCCTGCGGAAGATTGTCGCATTGTGCAAACTTGCGTAGAAAGAAAAGTTGCGAGTTGCAGACACTACTGTAAGACCTTTGCTGACTAAAATCGGTTTAATGCCAAAATCGATTAAATCTCATTCTTGTTTCTCGTGGTCACTGTTCAGACCTTCCGAACAGACGAGTCCCGCCTTTCCCGAAGCTTCAAAATCCCTGGGGAGCCACGAACCCCCCACTCCAATCATCAGCCGATACATGCACAATCCTCGGTACAGCAAGCTGCTCTCAGAGTGGAAAGTCCCGACCCCCCCTCGGTTGCCCCACAAGAACTCGAGAGCTCGTTTCCTTCCACAGATTCTTCTTGTTTGCCTTCGCTCCTTTGGCGCAGGGATGTCGGAGCCCTCGAGGAAGCGCAAGGCCGAGGCCGAGCCTGCCGAGGCGAAGCCCCCCGCTTGCCTTTGGTTAGTAGGGAATGGAGGAATGGGGTACAATTATTACTGCTATTACTACAGTTCTTCCATTCCCTACTAACCACAGGTAAGCCCGCGACAAGCACAAACCTACTTGGGAGTTTCCAAAAGTTGCCTTAGTTTGGGGATCCGTATAATTGATAAGGATCCTACCAATATCCTAACCCTGCTCTAGTCATAGACCTGGATGCAAAAGGGGTCTCTGAGATTGAGATAGGGACTTTTGGGTGGCCTTTTCATTCAGGGCCCGAAGGGTTATGTAGAACAAATATGATAACGTCGCGGACTTTCGGAGCTTGTGGGTGCCCCGCTGGGCATGCACAGTGAGGGGCGGGTTATGATGGGATCGACAGATGAGGAGCGTAAGGATGACAAAGTTGCATGAGTAAGCGATGCTCTACATCAGCTTTAAGCATGGTGTCCTACGAGATGCCGAATTGGATCCTTACTCCAAGCAGTCTTATCAAAACCCTTCTTGAAACCGGCCGGGTTCCGAACTCAGGATCTGGGCCTCGGTGGGCTTTATGACTTTCTTCCCCCTCCTGATCCAGAGAAGGACAAGGCCCGTTGGCGAGTCGCTGCTTGTTCTTGCTGTCGTAACTGTGTCTTTTGGATGTGGTCTGTGTGTCGCAACGATAGCCAAGGCTACAGCTGCTAAGGCACGCAAAGCCGAGCAGCAGCATCCTCGGCAGACCCTATAAGATTGTCAGTGTCAGGAGAAAGGGGATCTTGTCTCCAGCTGTGTATTTCTGTACATGTGGAGCGGTTTGTCGAATTCTGATCTTGTTCGATGGGTCTCCTTCTACCGGGGGTGGCAATTCTGAATGAGAGAACCCTGCAAAGCTCGTTCAATTACTGCTCTCAGATGCGGAAGGGGCGTTTGCCGATGTTGGCACAAGAAGAACACGATGAGAGAGAAGAAGGAAGCGACGGGTGATCATGCAAACGGCAAGCCAACTTGATCGAACCGAGACGGATCTCCCCCGCCCGAGAAATTTACACAACCCCTCAAGAAGGTCCCTGGCCAACAACGGCGTTGGAGCATGTTGGAGCTGTGCCGAAAATCCCAAATTTCGAGGCTGAGCACGCGGCCCAAGCTTCCGCCCGTCGACAGGCCGGGGACACACAAACCATACTCGGTTGTAGATGGTATCGATTCTTCGGCATTGCTGAGCGCTGAGCTGCACCCACGACTCAAACCCGCTGTCTTTTTCAGCAATCTCCGGGTTCAGCCTCGGACGGCAGGTCAAGAGTAATCTTCCTGGATGTCGACGGTGTCCTTCTCCCGGCTGGCAGCGTCGAAATGTGCGCCCTTGTCGGGGGCAGAGAAAGCGAGCCCTTTGTGCCACGTGGAAAAGATAGAGAATGACGGAAGCGAGAAAGGGCTGGAAGCTTGCGGCTTCTGATGCGGATTTTGTCCTATACCCTTCCCACCCTGGCAGGGTCAGAAAAATACAGCTTTGCATAGCCAGAGAATCTTGACATGCCTCGACAGAAGGAGCTGACGGTGTTGTCACAGCTTATCAGTTCTTGACCTGCAGGATATTCATTGATGGCGTCATGCTGCCTGTGCGAGCGGCAAAGGAAGCGGACTTCAACAGAAACTTGCCCCTAGCGCTTATGCCACGAGATGCAAGCAGAACCTGTGCCACATGGCTCTCGCCGAGGAACTGCTCTGTCCAACCTGCGGGCGATAGTACAGCAGTCAGGTCCCAAGCTTGCCAAAGCAAACGTTCAGGCTGCACTTCTGCGCGACCAGTTAGTGCGGTCACAAGCGACGCGCCCGGTGCAGTGCGTACTTTAAGGACTGGTGCTTCGATTGTTCTGTCCTCCGAGTGGCGACGGAAGGAGGCTCCTGGCCTCGGCAACGCCCCAGAGCAACAGCTTAGAAGCCGAAACCCGATGAAGACGCGCTTCTACAGTGCGCAAGCATGACATATATAGAAAGCAGCATCAGCGTGGGTCCCGTTGCTTTGCCCAACTCTGACTGCTGCTATGTCGTACGACCTCAGCCATTCACAAACGCTGGCAGCCCATGCGAGGAGATGAGGGACAACATCCGAAGAACTCTTCAAACCCAGGCGCACACCCTGGGACGGCCTGATTCGTTATCTTTGCAGTACTTACACATGGCGCCGCAAGTTGGTTGAGGGCTTCTGTTTAGCAGCTGTCTTCTGGACTCTGGACAGTATGGACGTGCTAGTGCATTACCTTAATACTCCTTAAGCAGTCAAACGCTGCGGCCCCATGCAAAGTCCTCATGTTCTTGCGAGCCCCGATGACAAGCGCTGTTACCCCACACATCTCAGTTCGATTAAGGATATTCCTGGTATTCAAGATGCTACGCCGATCTTCCAGCCCTCGGCCGAGCTCGTCAAGCAGAGGCTTGATCAGGCCCGTCGGTTCAGGATGAGTGCCTGACGGAAGCGAATGCGCAGCAGTTGGATCGTTTGTGTGGGAGCACCTGGCTATCAGGCTATGACTAAAACTTTGATTCTCAAGCCTTGCTGGTCTGTGCAGGCGATCATTTGGGCCGAGCGCCGCGCACGAGAGATAGGCAGCTGGCTGAAGCAGCACAAAGATGTCAAGGCCGCCGGCTTCGCAGCAAGTTTTGCAAGCTAAAGTGGAGAAGTGACAAAGTGCATCTCCAGGAATCTTCCGAGCTTGCTTTGAAGCTGCTGTTGTGTCAGCCACACTTAGCTGCTGTGAACTGATACGCCCTCCAAGGCTTGGGTGGCCATTGACGATATCGACTTTAGCTGGGCTGACAGCGTAAAGGTGTCGGGAACACCGCTGATGAAGTGCGGGCCCTGGATGACTACAGAGGCTGTGGTATCATGGAGAGCGGCGAAGCCGCTTGTGTAGATTATCGGAGCAATGGCCACGGAAATCCCCTGGCCAGTAAGTTCTGACAATTAGTGATGACTCCTGTCTTTTTGCCGAGCCATCGGTCTGGCGAGAATCGTTGAGTTGGCCTCGTTGCGGGAGTTTCGCAGAAGCTGTCGATGCCAGGCATCGCTCAGTCCTGACAAACCCGAAGTACTGCATAACTGAGAAGGCGGGGCCATCCGCCGCTGCATTTGCATGCCGGGATCCGCTCGGATACTCCTTTGTTTCCGTTGCCGTACGCACCGAAAGGATGCCGAAGAGGCGGTTCGCATCCTCCTGAACCCTCCCGTCATCGCTCCAGGTGAGGAGGCAAGGCTTGGAAGCAGCACTTTGCTTCCATTGCTACGGCATGAGAACCCTGCCAATCATGCTGCCGAAACTTTGTTCATGTGAAGGCTGATGCAATTGCCGCTGCCAGATATCTGACGGAGGAGGCACTAGCGAAATGCGCAGGGGCTGGACTGATGTGAGGCCCGGTCTCAACCAGCAATAGCATAGCCTAGAACGTGGCAAGGGGAGAAATGCATGCTTTAGTCGAAGACAGCATGATTCCGATTAGCATTGCGTGAAGTGATTCTTCTGCGGCCAAGACATCAGTTCGTCATCGGGAGCCAAGTCGCAGTTCGAAGTTGTCCGTGCCTAGGCACTGCATTGCACAGCTGCCACCGCCTTCTAGCTACAACATGGAAGGCAAGTGCAAAGCATCTAGCTTGGCTCCATGTACCCCGCGACCCAAGACCACGATGAGACTCGCCGACGTTGTCGGCGTAGTCAGGAAAATCCAGAGTTTCGGATTCGGGACCCCTGCCAGAATCAAAGCAGATGCTGATGCCGCGATGCTTCGGTAGTTACCGTCTCCCCTGAAGCACGAGTCGGTGGCTGCCAACGCAGTCGTGTGCCTGGCGATTGCAACCCTCAAGCCCGAAAGCCCAAACGAACGTGGCCAGGGTCTCACTATCGAAACTCCCTCCGCAGTGCCTTGACGGGAGCAAGACTCGACTATCACCGCCGCCAAGGATAAAGTAGAGCGCAGGCTTGGGCTTCAGCCGGTGGCACTTACTTGTGCGGAGGGAAGATTTGCAAGGTGACCTTCTCGTGCTTCTAGTTTGAGGTTTCTGCCGAACGAAGCCCGCAACGCACGACGCGCGGTGCTAGCTTGGGAGTTGGGATCAAAAACGAGACGTACTTTGGAATTTGAGTTCATTTCCAATAGGGTGCAGCGAATGCCGGAAAAATACCCAAAGAAGTGCTGCACGTCCATCTTTCAAAATCCTGCACACCTATCTCGAAGGGTTTACCTGTGGTTGAGACAGCAGAATTTGCATCGAAGGGAGCTCAGAGGCCGATCACCGAATGCTTGGGCTCACACTTTGAGGGCTTGGGACTTTTTTCATCTTCGCTCGGAAGTCGCGAGCATCCGAGAATTGACAGAGCGGAAGTGTTTTCTGCGATGCGAAGGCGCGGGTCGCATGTAAATTCAGCGCGTCTTCGAACCTGTGGACGAGATGACGGAGATGAGCTTCGCGCGCAAGCAGTACGCTGAACAAGAACCAACAATTCGAGCCCTATGCCTATGCTGTTCTACCGTCAGCCCGAGACGTAAACATTTCACTGTGAAGTGCAAAGGCAGTTGCGATGGCATGCTTTGTTTATGTGCAAATCATAGCCTGCTAATCAACTAACGTCCAACACAGATGCCTTGAGATTCTCCGATGCCAAACATCCGAAGACAAAGCCTCAAAGCTTCCCTTTTGACTCGAAGACTGTGGTTGGGTCTCAACCTCAACCTTCAAACCCTTGCCAGTGAAGAACAGTCTATTCGGATTCTGCTGCGCTTCAAAGAATGGCTTCTTGGTCAAAAGTGGGTCCCCGACCCGGCGGATCTGCACTGCTGTGCTAAGGAGAGCTCCCAGGTCCAGAGCTCAGAAAGTGGTGAAAGTCGATAGGCTGCGAGGGTTCCTGGAGTGGCCTTCGGCTTGATATGGCTTGATCGAAATCTCAGAGCATTATACATGTTTGCGAGGCATTGGAGGGCACCGTTTGGAACCGTATATTATCTCAAGTATGTTATGGGCTGAAATAGTCATGGAGCTCCACAAGGACTGGGATTAATTGGTGCTGTATACACAACATGCTGTCCAATCACTGTCCTTTGTGTATTGAACTTTGCTCATAGGCTTGGCACGATGCAGAGATGCACGGAGGGACTCGCTTTGCTTCATGCACCACTTCTCCAAAGCCACTGCGACTTGTAAGATGCGGCAAATGACTCAGCCACTTTGAATGGCAAAGAATGTATTGCCCTTTCAAGGACGACCGCTCCAATAAACGAGCACGGACTGAGTCCGCCGTTTGCTATCGCAAGGACCCAAGGCCAACCTTCCATGTTTGCAAAGCGGCAACTTTTCAAAGTGCAAACATGTGCAAGCAGCGCCCGCAGCAGCTGCAGCTTTCGCACAGTCACCGTCAGTCCCCGCAGAACACTGGGAAAATCCTGCCTGGATGTGGATGCATGACTGAGGCTGCCATTCGACCATTGCGACATCCTTGGGCAACAGCCCCGGCGAGCATGGTTGTTGCCTCCTCTTACCGACTTCCAAAGCGCACTTACAAGTCTCATTTGCCATGCGTCCAGACAGAGGTTACACCATCTGCGCTTTGTGCCGCTGCTGATGTGCGCTAGAAGCAAGTAGCCGTCTCAATGGGGCAGGGACCAATTCGAGAGTACGAACTGGAAGTCGCAAGCCGTGCAAATGAAATAACAGCTATTGACCTCTAGATGCCTGTACCCTCCACCATGGGCGCAACGCACCACAGGTTGTGACCGCACATTCGGTAGACGGATGCATCGTTTGATAGACAGTACAACGGTCCAACTGAAGAACGAAGGCTTGTCACTCTTGGGAATCCTTGCCTCATAGCATGTGGAAAGAGTGAAGCTGAGCTAGGCCCGCAGGTTTCACACAAAAAATCAGGTTTGTTGCTGCATCTTTGGTTCCACGTAGTGCCTCGGGTTATCTGCCAGGGGATTTGCTCAGCAGATCTCACAGTTGTCGCACTGCAGCGGGACAGGATCTTGCAATCTCGAGAGAGCCCATCCCGGTACCGTTGCCGGCCACTGCCTGCGTCCCTCGGCTGCGTCGCGCATCACAATGGCTGACTACGCAGAGATCGCGGCCAGGGTGGAAAAGCGCATCGCAAAAGGCCACGTTAGCTCGCAGGTCAACGCAGGCTATTCCTCCACCTCCCAATACATCTGGTGCAAGCGGAAGGCCGCGAAGTATTTTTGGAGTGCAATAAGGACAGGCGAAGCCTGGTGTGCAACTCATCGTCCTTCTCCTCCCATCTACCGCAGCGTTTTAAAATTTAAGACTGGCTCGACATGTTGAGGTTGAAGACAGTGGACATCTGAGCTAGCGACATTTCGGATAATAATCCGAGGTCATAACGTGAACTTCGAACCCTTCTTCGCTTTCTGAAGGGTAGAAAGATCCGAGCCATCGCCATGCTGGGTACCCCTCGCGAGCATCACGCGAAGACGCTCGGCCGGCGAGTGTTAGTCAGCGGCAGGAGAGAAAAGGATGAGTTTTGAACTCGAGCTGGGACGCCAAGGAGCGAGGAATGGCAGGTGCTCGGCGGCAAAGCTGGGGGTGCACATGCCGAGATGATGATCAACACAGACGGTCCGCGGCCTTGCTTTCTTGATGCAGTCAGTCGACGAGACAACGGGAAGCAACATCTCACTTCCAGCTCGGCACGGAGTCACTGTGGAACACGCACTATTTCGTTCCCCTGCCCCTGCAGGTTCACGCATATTGAAGCCGTTGGATCAAGGGGCGAGGCCGATGACAGTTACGAATTGCTCAAGCAGAGGCTACATAAATCTAAAACGAGCATGCAGGCGCAAAATCGGGACTATGCAAATAGCTGAAAATTGGGAACAGAAGTCAGAGATCCATTTGTGTGCCGTTGTCCCGAGTGTGCAAGTCTCGTTGTCGGCCATTTGCAGGGTTGCCGGTTGCATGGAGCATTCTTCCAACTTCACTTTCCACCCAAGAGTTCTGGCAGGTGTTCCAGCGAGATTGCAGCTTATCGCAGCCTTGCTTGTTCCTTTGCTGCATACTACCAACAATCCACCAAGCTGCTGGCCAGTGGATGCAGCACCTTCAAGGACGCGTGCCGGATTTTGGCATTGCAGCGGTAGAAGCCGCGGTCGTGGCGTGTTGCATGTCCTGATGTGTTCCTCATACAGAAGCCTTTCGAGTCAGAGGACCTTAGCAAGGCAGCCTTCCCTTCTGAAGTGCAAGGGTTGAGCTCTCAGCAGTCAGACCACTGCCCACAGCCAAAGGTTCGCCGCTGGCACCGTTTCTTTGCAGCTTCCACGGCACTCGGAAAGTTGAAGGTGCAGTCTCCTGGCCCAGAGTCGTAGAATGTTAAAGCTTCTTTGGGCGTTTGAGTGGGATTTGGTGTCGGATCTTCCGCCAAAGTGTCTTTGCAGCACGAGAAGAGGTCCGAAGCCTGACATCTGAGGAGTACATGGAGCTGAACAGTGCCTACTTCGGCATGACGGCGCCAACCGCCACACTGGACATCAAGATTGGCAAGAAGACTTGGGAGGATACCCGATACCCGAAGCATCTGAAGCGGGCCTTGACAGTTGAGGTTGTGTAGAAAGGGGTTCTTGTAGATTAGTCTAGGATGCCCCTCGTGCGGTTTAGCGTAAAGCGATAAGAAGTCAAATAGAACGATGACCTTTGAATGTATGTCACACGAGTACTTTGACTAGTTCTATTACGGTTTCTGCTACGTACGGTTTACGACTGCTCCCACAGATCTTGCTACCGCTACTGAATGGTCAAACTGAAGCTTTAAAGGCTGCCATAGTGCAGACTGAGGCTCAGCCTGACAAACCGACAGCGGGAAGTAGGGAGTGTCAGAGTCGGGTTGACTTGTGGCGTTTCCGACAGAGTTGCCATCATCACACTGTGCCCCTTCCTTCTTGCTCATCTCGAGACCGATCAGAGGCTCAGTTTTGTTTTGACAGGACCGGGCGGACCCCGCCAAGATCGCGAAGGAGCGGCAACTTTGAAATTGGCAAGTGGAGGGATCATCGACACAAGTGCGGATGGGCAACCCCGCTGCCTATCGTCATGTCGAGGCCCTCTGGCCCCAAGCCCGCAGCAGGAGTCGAAAAAGTTTGATGAGATCTACTCCTCAAGCAGTGCCATGGATGGCTTCAGAGTGGCCGGGATGAAGGTGCAGGGATTGCCATGCAAGCGCTGGACAGGGTTAGCCCGACTGCAGATACGGATGTCGCGGCTGTAGCCTGCATTCTGTCCCAATCAGCTTCTATCCATGTACAATATCCCAGCAGCACAGCAGCCTCTTGCACAGTGACTGCTGCGCCCGGTGCAGCGAAATCTGGAGCAGCTAGGTGGCATCGATCTAACTTCCTGTAGTCTCCGGCCGCAGATTGAGCCGAGTGACAAGCATTTGCTGGCCACATTGGCATTTGGATTTGTTTCTGTATAAACACCCAGAAGAGTTGCCACCGTCCACGACCTGAAAAGCTTGGTCGGCTTGCCAGCTGCGTTGTCTATCAGTTTGGGAGGCGGGGGACCTGGTGCTAAACTCGACCAACTTGAAGGCCAGGAAATGGGAAGAGAGTTCTGTGAGCAGCAGTCATTGTGAGGGCTGTCAGTCTCTCAACGTGCTTGCACGTCCGAGTCTTCGCTCATTGATTCGGCTGGCTTCGTGGTGACGTACATTTCATGGAAGCTTAGGGGGTCCCAGCATGTCGGATCGCAGTTCGAGCTGTGTGGAGTTTCGATTCCGCGAGATACAGTACCGAGTTTTGTGCACGTGCTCTTGCACAGCTGCAGGAGAAGCACGTCTGACACCTTGTGAGAATCGAAAGTTTCTCATTCCACCACAGAACCTAACCCATGCAAGGTATACAAGACATATGTTTGACCTGAAAGATGCTGCATTGGACGAGGCACGATTCAGCCTGAAAACGACGGAGTTCGGAGACTGGCTGCTTCCCGCCTTCCTGGCCTCAGCACCCGGCTTCGGATCCTTGGAACATAGTCGAAACGGTACAAGCAAGGATTCAGGATGACGCGCGCAGATCGAGAAGTGTACCAACAAACGCCGAAACATAAAACTCTCGCGCCAGTCACACTAAAGCCTGCAGCTGTTGCCGTGAGCTCTAATATCACCGTAGAGCTTCGAGCGAACTCTGCGACATCACCCCATAGATCCGCATAGGCCTATATTGCATCAAAGCTCGAGCATTGTCTTCCCCGGCCTGCGGTGCGAGGACCTTTGCCCGAGGGCATGGCCGGCCAGTGCCGCCCAGACAGCCGAGGCTGTGACCCGGGGCTTGGAGAAGTCCTGGCAAGCAGTTGTTCTTTGACGCTGTTCTTTTCTCGCACAACGGCATGTCGCGTGTCTGCAGGTTGCGAAGTTGACATGAGAGCGGCAGCAGAGATCCTCGGGAAGTTGAAAGCGATCAGCGCGGCGGCAGAGCAGGGCTTCGGAGGAACTCTCAGAGCAGCCAGCCTTCTCCTAACTCGTGAGATGAGACATGGAGGCCGATGGCAGGTCCATCTGATAGATCTCGCACACTACACAGAGACGGCCGAGAAACGGGACGACAACTTCTGCGATGGCTTGCAGAATTTGATCCGCACATGGGAAGACTGGTGCTCGACAGATGTGCCACAGTCCTGGTTCACTGTTTGCTGCATTACGCGCAAATGATCAGGGCAAGTTGGTGGCTGTATCTGTCACACCGCCGGTTTTCGTCTCCCATAGCTGTGGAAAGTTTGTGTTTGTTATTGTTTTTTGCCTTTTAACTTGCTGAGAGCGATGTGGGGCGCTCGCTTGCTTATGACTTCCGTGCTCGGCAACTCCGCGGATAAAGAGAGAAAAAGCTTGCAGCTTCTGCGGAAGTTGATAATCTGTAGATTCCCATCACGGTGGAGGCTTCCTTTTCTGGTACTCTCGTCTTTCGGGCGATTTTGTGCGACATGAGGTCATCAAGCTATCGACCCGATCAATCCTTTAGTTTGAACCTGTTGGTAGCTGCATCGCAAACCCTGCAACTATGTGATACTTGACGAGTATCAGTTCCTCCGTATACAGTGCAAAAACATTCGAAAGCTATCGCCCCAAAGGAGAAGTTCAATAGTATGACACAAATCGAAACTAAAAACCCTTGTCTGGTCGAAGTTGCGAGAGCGTGATGTCGAAACCTGGCCCAAGAATGCTTGAAACCCCCAAAGCCCCAAACCACCGACAGCCACCGCACAAAAGGGTGTCTCAGGGCAGGCAGACACAATGGGTCGCAGCTTATTGAGATGGTTGCAGTTTCCCAACAGCATGACGGGCTCTGCAATCAAAGCTTTTGTGCGACGGAGGTCGCGATCAACACTAGCAGTGGCACGCCCTTACATCCCAGATTTTTATTATGCTTGGCTTGGCAGTATGGGCGGCAGCACAGCCTGACTACTCGTGTCGTTGCCCGGTATGCGCTTGAATCTTTTCTCATGTGCCGGCTGCGACATGTCGGCCCAAGCAGAGAATAGGAGGAGTCGAAGTGCATGCCAGCGGTTTTTGGTTTTCCCATTCCAAGTTATGGCGCGCATGCTCAGCGCCCTTGCCACCGGCATGGGCTACTCGGCGGTGCAAGATGCCGTGTAGGTTTGTGTTTGCAGCACATGTTTGGCAATGCAAGTTTCCCTCCCTTGCCTTGGTGACTCACCGGCTGAGCATCTTGCTACCTTTTGATCCAGACAGTGAATCCTGCTTTTTCGATTTTAGCCCTTTCGTGTTTCTGAGCCGTACCAGGCTTGCTGACTGACAAGTATATGCTCGGTGCCACGAACTTTGTTGAGCATTATGCCACTGATTTCCACGCGACTAATGCGCAGAAGGACTGTGGTGCTGGCAGGTTAAGCTTGAAGGACTTTCGACGCCCTCCCGACGTAGCATGACGTGACCTTTTCCGTGGAAAGAGCAACTCAGAGGATGGGTTTTGTAAGCAGTCATCGAAAGCAGCCGGGCACTGTCTTGATGCAGGATTTTGTCAAAGCTGCCATGTATGGCGGGGCCATCGTTGGTATGCTCGTCATGGGTGGCATGGGCAAAAATTAGTGCTGGCAGGTGTCAAGCGCATTTACATCTGCTCTTGCCCAGCGCCCCACTTGTGAAGTTTCATCCCTGCAAGATTCTGGTGAGGTCCAGCTTCTGACTACATCGGTCGCCGCATGGGCCTCATTGTCTGTTCCATTATCACCCTTATTGGAATCTTGGCTGTGGACCAGACTCTCATGTCCGGGTGACTGAGCTTGTCTTATTTTGTTCTGTTGGTACCCAGCAGCGCGCAAGACTTCTTCTGTTGTCATAGGGAATAAGAGGACGAACAACGGCGACCACCGGCGACAACATCATCATCAGTGGTATTGGTACTCAGAATCAAGACAAGAACACACGACAGAAGACAACAGTACGATTCACCCGGAGCAAAACACAAAGATACCGGGGAAGAATAGTGAATAGTAGAGAACTCAGTACAGAGCAAGCTTCCCCCAATCCAGTTGTTTTGGAGTCTAGCCGAGGCGCGCTGCTTTCAGCTCTTGCCTGGAGTGAGGATGCCCTCATTGTAGCACGCCACCCGGCAGGAAACGGCTTCAGCCCGAGTTAGGTATAGCGGCTGAGTTGCGTCCCTGAATGAATGCTGGCTGCTCTACAGAACGTAACTCGCGGCTTTGCTTTGCGCGAGCTTTCCAGACAGACGCGTTGCTGGCGCTCGTATTCCAGACCAAACTCACCCTGAGACTTTGACGCGTGAGCATCAAGACTACATTCAGTCCCCGACGGCAAATTCTGGCCCTGGCCCTGAGCGACAAGTGCGAAGGGCCAAGAGCGAGTTGACTTGGCTCATCGGCATTGCGACGCAGCGGGCTCACTGTCTTGCTGTTGGGGCATGCTTCTCGTGAGGCACGCGCTGCAGAAGTGTCGACTGTCGACAAGACTTGACCGACAGTTTGACCTACTTGCCAGCAGTTGCTTCTTTCAACCTGGCAGATCTGCCGAATTTGCAACACCCCAACGACAGCAAGAGCATCATTACTTGCCCGCTTGTGCCCAGGCATCATTACTGGCATTGGCATGGGGGGTGAGTACCCACTGGCCTCATCGCATTCTGCTGAGTCCTCGGAGAAGACCAGTGGCCTCTCTGCAAGGAGTCTTTCCGTCCTGTCCGCCTTGGTCGTCTTGGCAACGTATGTGCAGTGGGCATGTATATAGAGTCGCATCGAAGGCGGCTTTGGGCGAGAGACATTCATTTGACACCAATTGCTTTTGAATCTGGCACGGCTCTGGCACCAGATGGTGCCAAACCCTGCCCGTCAGGATGGAAGATAGAGCTAGAGGCTAGAGCCTGCCAGAAACCTTATAGCAGGCTCGGCCCCTTGTGGGCGCGCGTGCGTGCCCAGCCCATCCCAAGCCCTGATTACCGAGGCGACGGTGCCCGCAATGTGGCCTTGCTTTACCTGTTCGGAAGCGGCTTTGGCCAAGCACTCTGCCCGATGGTGACCTACATAATGGACGCTGCTTGATTGCAGTGCTTGCTTGGCGAGGGCAACAGAATGTCGTGTGGAGCCCATGAGAACACCGCCTCTCCCCTGTCAGCTTTTGGCGGGACGTAGATGCTACGAGGAGAGCCCGGCACTAGCAGAAACCCTGGACTGGCGTACATAAGTAAAGATAAGTCCTTTCCTGAATTTCCTCATTCCTCCCTGGAGGTCGCTGGCGTCCCGCATGAGATATTGTGGCGGTGGATCTTCGGAGCCCAGACTGTAACGATTCTAGCTGCTCTTGTCCCTTTCCCTTGAGGTTCCTTGTTTCTTCATGCGAGAAGTGGAACTTCAGAGCGCTTGGCCGAAGGGATCCAGGGCTTAGTGCATTGCCGTCCCTGCTCAAAATCAGGAGGTCAAGTTACAATATATCAATATATCTAGCAAGAACAGAAGTTATATTCGAGGCTGAGGCGCTTGCTTCTGTTTTTGACTGACTTTTCCCTAGCCTCGGTATGGCTGAAGTCCTGAGCGAATGAGGCCCCAGAAGCATGCAAAGCTCGAGACTCTACTCGTAGTTGCTCTTGGTGCTCACGTAAATCTGAACCATCTTACTGGGAGGCAGACGGAAAGCCTCAATGACCGAAGCCTCCCCGGTCCCAGGAGTGGGTGTTATTCTTTCAGCCTTGGGCTTGGTCTTGCGATACCTGACCATCCAGGAGAGCAACGGGTGTTGCACTGAGCAAGATTCCAAGCGGTTGGTTGGTTGCAGGATAGATCGGGAGCAGGAGGAGCTACATTTTCACATGTGTCTGGGTGAGTGCTGCTTGCGAGGACAGCCTGAAGTTTGTGCAAGGAAAGGAGGCTGCAAACATGCGGCAGGGTCGTGGGAGCGGTTTCCCTGCACGCCAGAACCAGCGGTCGCTGACCAGTCATCGACTCTGCCGGGGTTTCGAGATTGAGATGAAGCATGCAAGCCGCACACGTATTTTCACTCGAAGGCGGAAGAGAAGCATCACGACACTACCTGGACCATCCTATCACCGTATTGGAGGCCTGCCGCCGTCGTCTTTGGATTCTGACATGGGTTGAGGCTGATTATTCATGAATAAAATCACGGCCTGCTAGGGCGATCGCGGGCACTGCCGGATGCTGGTTCCTCTTTGACACAGTCGAATACGGCTGCCTGGCCTCATGCTCGTAGTGTTTATTTGTTTGTGTCGACTTCAGTCCAGCTCTATGATGCTTGCCAACGCACTTCTCCACCGTTTGTGTGCGATGCGCTTGACCAGCTGTTGAATGCGCACTAGGTCTGAAGCAGAACGATGCAGCGATTTTCAACTCGGACGGCAGTGGCCCCTACTCGGATGGTATCCTCGAGGTGCCCAGGCTTCTGTTTGGCCGCTAGTGAGGTTTGGTACTAGCAGGTTATGGCTTGATGAGGCGTGCACCACCCCGGCTTAAAATGAAGAGGGTCATGCAGAGCGCGCACGTACTTTGAAGCGCCCAGTCCCTAGCAGAAGACCCGATGAATGTAGGTCGCAATTGTGCGCTACTCTTCGCTCTTTGTTGGCTTTTGCAAAGCAAGCCTCTCAGAGTAAGGTGTTGTGGAGTCGCCTTCTCGTGATCCCCTCGCGACTCGGACTTGCAAGCAGTACTGTAGGTGTTGCAGTCAAAACCCTCAACAACGAATGATCAGCTGAGGTTGATATTTGCCCCGTGGTTTCTGACGAAGGCGTCTGCTTGCAAGCATTCTCGACCCTCCATGTGTTTGCTGGAGTCCATTCTCCAAAAAAACCATGAACCGTAGGCATGTCAAAGTTGTTCACATCTGCATAGACCCCCTCCAGTACGTCCCCCACGATCGCTGTCGCAAACGGACCCTTTGCAGCCTCCCTGCTCAGACCTCCAGCAAGCGTGTCCAATTTCTTGGTTTCCTTGGATGTGCGATTGCCAACCTCATCTTGGCAGCAGCTCGACGGTTGACTCGGTTTGAGGCAGGATCTGGTTCTTTTCGTGGTAGCTGAACATAATGCGCATGTGCCGTGGGGAGGTCACATAGAACTTTGCATGTTTCAGAGATCTGTGCGCTGTCGCTTGTTCTTCGGCCCCGTTCCCTTCGACTGGAGAGGCAGAGTGGTGTCGGCTTCTCCTCCCTCCCTCTCTCTCTCTCTCTCTCTCTCCCTCTCCCTCTCTCCCTCCGTCTCGCTCTCTCTGCACAATTTCTCAAACTCAAGCGGGTAGACACGTAGTGCAGATGCTGTGCAGATGGCAGCGGTTATGTTCCCCCGATGGCCAGATCCCTCAGTCCTTGATTAGTCCCGAAGCTACCACTTCTTCGAGGTAGCTTACAAACAGTTGCGAGAGATGTCCACTCTGTTCTTCACGTTCTACATCGTGCAGCTCTCCTTCCAGAGCTTGCCTGGGGCATCCTGGTTTGAATTCGGTCTCATCACCTCCACCTTGTTATTTCTTTGTGTTAGTTCCCTTCCCTCAGCGTGGGGAGATGCACGTGCTCAAGTTTGTGTACATTAACATGGTGCCAAACAGTAAATGTAAACGTTCCTCAACATCCGAAGCCCGGAGTTTGAGTATCGTAGCGGCCGTAGCGAATTGCTGTCGATAACCATAGGCACCGCGATTTCCAGTAGGGCCAGAAAGGTCACGACCATGGCGATCTCGGCAGAGCCTCTCAGCCAGCACGCCTGCTTGCTTGCAAGTGCAATTGGAAAAACCCTCAGGCATCGGCCAACGAACCTACATTGAATTTAGAGTTCCACTGCTGTTCCTTCCATGTGCCGAGACACCAGAAACTGCACCATTAAGGATCTATCCTAGCATGGTCCGCGGCACTGGCGCCGGCATTAGCGCAGCCTTCGGAAAGCTTGGTGCCACCGTTGGCTCTTACTTCTTCTCGGCGCCTGGACCAGCAAAACTTTCAGGATCTTTCAGGCTTCGGCTCCGAAGTGGCAGCTTTTTTTCATAAGACATGTTAAGGGTCATGATCCTCTCTGCGGAGTCTAGGCTAGGATATTCATTTGCAGGCGGTGCCACGGTCGACATTTCTTCTGGCATACAAGCTCCTGTATCTGTGCCCGGAAAAGTTTTAAGAAAAGGATTGAATACGGAAGATGCCTTGTCAGGAGCTCAAGAACTTGGGGAACATCAGTGGGATTTTTTGGTGTCTTGGCTTTATGTTTGTTTCAGCGACCAGTTGAAAAAATCGCACGCCGCGTGCATTTTCCGTCCAGTCCAGAGTCCAGAGCGGTCTCTACACTCCGGCTTGTATGGTCTGCATCTCTGGTTGGTAGATCAAGTCGTGGTGCAATGCAGCGCAGCGTGCAGCACGATGGAGTCGGCAGCATCTGTTCAGTTTTGTTGTTGGCTGGCCAGTGGCCCATCCTTCCGCGCTGCTTTCCAGTCCGTGTCAATAGTTGCTAAGGGTAGTCTTTGCTTGGTAAAGCGTAAATAAGTGTATCTCGCAGGACTGTGTTTGCGGCTTCCTCCTTGGCCATGCTCCTCACCGCGATAGGCCCGTGTGTGGCAGACAACTCCCTGTGCTTGGGGATCGGGTCGTGATTGCCTTCGTACCTAAGCGGCTGTTTGCTGGGCATAGTCACTGCTTGCATGTACTTCTAGCTTCAATAGCCTTCATGCCGGTCGTTTTTGTTGGGTTGATGCCACTGTAGCGAGCGGGAAGAAGTTCACATCTCACAAATCGCATGAGGCATTCCGTACTACAACGGCAACACCCTCGATGAAGCTGATGCGCTGCTCGGCTGACACATGTTTGCCAGTGCTCAAGGCAGGTTCGCCATTTGTCACGTCACTGCTGCTGCTACTACTACTTCTACTACTTAACTACTACTCCTGCAAATGTTGTCGCTAACACTACTGCTCCTACATACTACTACTACTACTACTACTACTACTACTACTACTACTACTACTACCACTACTACTACTACTACTACTACTACCACTACTGCTGCTACTGCCACTACTACGACTACTACTACTGCTACTACTACTTCTGCTGCTACTACTCCTACTACTACTACTACTACTACTACTACTACTACTACTACTACTACTACTACTACTAGCCACCCCCCTCCCCTCCCAACTACACTTGTTCCATCCGGGCTGGGCAGCGGTAGCTGCTAGGCGCCTTAACTGCGATAGTTGCAGAAGATGCACGGGCTCAGGCTCCTTATCTGTGACAGCTGCAGAAGTTGCAGAGGCTCAGTTTCCTTAACTGTCACAGCCGGTGAAGTTGCAGGGGCTCAGGCCCCAAAACTGCCACAGCAGCTGGAGTTGCAAGCTCGACGGGGAAGAAACTGATAAACCCCAGGTGGTCGGATAGTACGAAAACGCTGTAAATACCGTGCAAAACCCAGGTGCTGCCAACAAGGGTTTAACGATTCTAAAACTGAAGCGCAACATCCTCTGAACATCAAAAACAAAGATGCCAGCTGTACGTGGGAGGGGCTCGCCAACACCCCTACCGCCCAACCTCTGCGTAGGAGGGTCTGTTTTTGAAGTGGTGTGTGTGGTGTGTGCACGCTTGAGTGTGGAAATATTGTTCAGGGTGTCCGCAAAACAGTGTCGTGATCATCCCCGAGGAAGCTTTCCCCCACCCAATTTCGAACAGTTCCAAAGAGCAAAGTTTAATACGCATAGTCGAGAAGTAGGGGCTCAGAATATGTAACAAAGTCTGACATCACGAAAGTCCCGTGAATACCGAGTTAAACGGCTCTTGTGGTGATACTGCTGGGTGTGTTCGCGTAACACTGTCGTCATCATCCCCCCCCCACCCCCCCACCCACCCCCAGAAGCAAGTCCAAAATCAAGAGCCCGAGTTTGCAAACTCGACAAGTCGATTTTTGGGCCTCTTAGGATGATCGCACATGACGAAAGTGACGTAAATACCGAGTAAAATGGATGTTGTCTTAACATGGTTGAGAGCAAGTGTAGTTGGTAGGGGGGGGGTTGCCTACTACTACTACTACTACCACGATTACCAATACTGAACTACTACTACTTCTACTGACGACTACTACTACTGCTACGACTACGGCGGGTGACAAAAACTACGGCTGCCACTCCAGTACCACTGCCACCACCAGCACCACCACCTCCACGATTACTCCTACAACTACTACCACCGCTACTAGCGCCACTACCATTACTACTACCGCTTCTACGACGGCGACTACGCCGTACTACTACTACTACTACTACCACTGTACTACCACTGTACTACTACTACTACTACTACTACCACTACCACCCGCACTACCAGCTGTACGACTACTACGGCGTCTTCTTCTACTACTACTACTTCTACTGCTACTGCCACACCTCCACCACTGCAACTACCACTATTACTACCACTACTGCTACTGCTATTGCTGTCGCTACTGCTACGGGTACTGCTACACCTGCTACACTATTACTACTACTATTGTTAATACTACTGCTGCTACGACTACTACTACTACTACTACTACCACTACGACGACGGAAACAACGACGCTCAACCGCCATCTCCCAAGGAGGGGGTCGTACAATACATACTAGATGTAAGCAACCGCCTTGGCCTAATGAGGGGGCTCCGAAATGTGATCAAGCGCTATCGCTTAAAAAAGTTGCCGGCCTGGGAAAAGGTGTTCTCAATGCAGGGCGAGTTTAGCGAATGTACCCACAAACGCCATCCCCTGATGACGGTGCGGGTTGAAGACATGTTATCAACCGCCGTCGCTTAGTCAACGGCCGTGTTTCGGAAATGTGACCAACTGTCATCGCCTGGTGAGGGTGCGGAGTCAAGAAATGTGACCACACGCCTAAAAAAGATTAAGGCTCTGTGAAACATTGTTGAACCGCTGTCGCTAAACGAGGGGGCTTTTCAACAAAACCGTGATCAATCGCCATCGCATACCAGGTGGGGCGGGTATAAGAAATGTGAACAACCGACGCCGACTAAAATAAGATCAACCTGACTAACACCATCGCCGAATGTGAGGAAGCATGATCAGGCACCATCGCATGATCAAGCGCGGGGGTTTGAACTAGTGAGGGGACGCGAGGGGTCGGATTTACGAAATTCGATCAGCCGGCATTGCCTATGGAGCAGGCGAGTCGAAGATGTGACCAACCGCTATCGATTGCCATTGCTGTGACTGTCAGTGGTACTTCTCCTCCTAGTAATACCGTTAATAGTATTGCTATCACTTTTGCGACACGACGTCACCACAATATTTCCCAACTTATGCGGGGCAGTTCAGACCTGGGGGTGCAAAATCAGCATTTGCAAACTCTTTGCGGAGAACACTGCCGCAGAGATTGCGTGATGTCCGAAGCCGGACACCCCAACAGGCCAACAAGGGTGTTCAACGACAGGCAACAGGCATGTGTCGAGGCTATGCCTTGCCTGCGGGGGGTCGGCACTGTGGCACAGTCGCAATCGACTCTACCTACTGCAAAAGGGCTCGCAACAAAAACGGTTTGAATTGACTTCGCCCAAGCTTCACGCATCTACCCGGAGCGAAGGCTAAGTCGTGGCATACAGTGTTGAAGTCTCAGCGGCAACACCAATTGCCAAGTATTTTTCGGGTAGTTCTCGGGTGAACGGAGTCCGGGAACGGGAACGGCTTGACCAAATGAGTCGCCGCACACGACTCCGTCCCCGGCCCGAATTGAGGGACAAGTTTACATATGTGTACATCTTGCTTGCTTGTTTCACCCTTCCAACCGCATCAACACAATCAGGACACAAGCAAACTGCTGTAATCATTGGTTAGGCTTCGCATCCTTTTTCCGCAGAGGGTTCCTGCAAAAACGTTACCATGAAATGGCGAGTTATGTACACAGCACACGCTGCCAATGCTCCCTGCGCCCAGCAACATCTGAACAGCATGAGAAGCTCGTGGCCTGATGGCCTTTCCCGTTCCTTAACCGATGCTAGATTCTAAATGCTGAAGTCGGAAGTCCTTGTGCACTCTTCTCAGCGGCCTTAGTAGGACAGACTGCATGTCGTCGAGGTAATGCGAACCTCCGAAGATCTCCATGCTTGTACCAAGGCTTGCTCGAGACGGGAACCCAAAGCAAGCCGCAGCTGAGCTGTGCAGTGAGTAATGTTCCGGTGGGTGCGCATCAGCACGTAGGGACGGATGCCGGATTTTAGCTTAGATTTTGATAAACAACTATAACTCTTTAACAACTCCAGGTGTTGTGGGCCCGCATCAGACCACATAATTAAAAAATCGCAATCTAGGCTCCGGCGCCGTATCGGCGAGCATGGTGCATCGTGTTTGTTTGTGTGTGTGTGTTGGTGTGTTGTGTGTGTGTGTATTGCGTGTGTATTGCGCGTGTGTTGTGTCTCTGTGTCTGTGTGTGTGTGTTTGTGTGTGTGTGTGAGTGTGAGTGTGAGTGTGAGTGTGAGTGTGAGTGTGTGTGTGTGTGTGTGTGTGCGTGTGTGTGTGTGTGTGTGTGTGTGTGTGTGTGTGTGTGTGTGTGTGTGTGTGTGTGTGTGTGTGTGTGTGTGTGTGTGTGTGTGTGTGTGTGGGAGTGCGTGTGTCTTTGTGTGTGTGTGTGTGTGTGTGTCTGTGTCTGTGTGTGTCTGTGTGTGTGTCTGTATCTGTGTCTGTGTGTGTGCGTGTGTGTGTGTGTCTGTGTGTGTGTGTGTGTGTTTGTTTGTGTATGTTTGTCTGCTACTACATCAGAAAGCTTGTAATCGAGCTCTATACATCTATTGGATTTCAGGACAGAGCTTGAAACACTGGAGCTGCTTGCTGATCTCGTTCATCATATTGCGACGTTCCCAAGCCCGAAGCCACTTTCTAGCAATGGATGAGGTGAAAGTCCTTTTCAGTGGCCCGCTGAAGCATGACGGGACAAAGTCAGCTGGATACGACGCCTGTTTGCATTGGTTTTTTTTTGCGGTCGGCCCGAGTGGATGTTGTCGACGTCAGGGACGGAAAACTACTAGGAACGAACTTCCGTTTCGGTTGAGTTCATTCCGTTCGATTGTGGGCGCACTCGGTTCCAAAGAACCGGTGTGAACTGGAGGTGCGGTTCGATGCAGTTCCGCAACATCCCCGACTGCGTGGTCATAACAAACACGGCGTGAATTTTTTCCGGTGTTTGGGTTAGGGCCTCGTTCTGTCTGATGCTCATGATGCTCGCTTGATGGCCGTCGCGCCTCCGGGTGCTGATTAGTGCTGAAGGCAACTTTGGAGGGCAAATTCCCAGAAAACGGGGTCCTGCAGCTCATGCCGGGCATTGAGTTCTTTGAGAAGGAATAAAATGAGCCTTGAAGCCACAGCGTGCTGAGGGGTTTACGCTGCCTTTGGGTTCAGATAGATTTGGGATCCTTAGATCGGTCGTGGCGGCTCGCCGGGGCGGGATTCAGTTGCAATTGGAAAGCTTCCGGGAGCGATCTAGTTTCAACAGCCCGAGATACAA